CTTAGAGGATAATTTTAATTTACTTTGGCAAATATGTATTTAACCTCTTAGGCTATTTATAAATTAAGTATTGAAGTGATCTGGATAACAACGCTTAACAATTATGAATAAGCGTAACTAAAATAGTTTTTTTTCAAACCAAAATTCATAAATCTTTTCTATAATCGCTTGGTTAGTTTTAACATGGAAATCTTTAGAGACCGAAGTGGAATGGATTAAAATGTCCTATTTAAATAAGTATCTTCTGTTAAATAAAATATTAGCACTATGAGAAATTTGAAACCCAGAAGAAAAATTAGACAGTTCTCATTGCGAATCGGCTCAAGACAATATCTACACTGGCCGCTAGCAACCGCAGAGGTTAACTATTTAGACATTTGTGTAACAATTTGCTCATGGGCCGCAGCTGCGTCGCTTGTGTTTGGAGACACTTCACAGCTGACTGATAACTTGTTGATATAAACAGCTGATAACTGATAAGTGTCCCACGCTCGAGTGTGGCGTTAAGTGACAAGATGTTTTGGTAAAGAATCCTTATCACACAGTGTGTTGCTGCTAAGGCAAGGAAGAAAGGGAGATATTTTTGATAGATACATTGTTGAGACAAACAATTGAGGAGAATAATATACAAAGGGTTACAATGTTGATCAATAAACTTGTTGTATTAACGGATTTCTATTGACTCTGGACTCAACAGAATTTCTTTTTATCAAGAACTAAGCCGCATAATTTGAGCTCATTTGCAGACAGTGGTAAAACAATTGGTTAACTAAAACAACAAAGGACCTAGCTAGAGGTATTATTGTATTAAGGGGAGAAGTATAACATATTTTTCATTTTTGAGACTCTTGCTTATTTAAAAAAAATTGAGATAGTGGAAAACATTGCTAAATTTATGACTCAGGCCTATTTGTATAGTCGGGTTGACAGGATTAAACAATTACTATACAGTACATTTACAATTCAAGCTCTTTTACAGTTATAAGGATAGTGTTAAAAAAATGTATACCTCTATGATTCAGGCTCAAAAATATGTTTTTCAGCACATTTAGGTCTCAGGCGTATTTATAGTATTTTCATCAGTGCTAAAATATTTATTTGTTAACTTTATGACTCAGTGTTGTAGCACAGCATTTCAGGAGGGGTAAATATTAAATTAGCTCTACTTCTCAGGTTTTTTGTGGTTCTTTCATTAGGGGTAAAATACCTGTTAACTCAGTCTTATCAATAGTACAGTAGTTTTATCAGGGGTGAAATATTATGGATTATCTTTATGACAAAGGTCTCCTGTGTTTATTTTGATTCTAGTTAAATTGGAGTGGTTTTGGCTCATTTAACAGCAATCATCATACCATCATCATAATCATTATCAAAACGTGACAGGGGTTTTTTATTTCACAATTAATTCTGAATCACCACTGAGGGATTTTCATGATTTGTGTGTTGAAAGAAAGATAATTTTGTAAACAAGGGAATGTAAAACTATAATTTGAGTTGTAATTTTTTTAAGTCTAGCAGCTGACGCTAACATTCTAGACTAGCCTTTGGTATAAAACCATTTGCTTAACGTAACCGCTGTAAACTCAGCGTTTGTGACAAAAACTTAGCATTTGGATAAAAATGAAATTACATAAGCAGGGTTGACTTATTTATATTATTTGTAATGCTATAATCATTTATAAGTTCATTTATTCAGTAAGGGGATGATAGATAATCTAAATACACATAGTAAAATACTAGATGTTCTAATTTATTTTTAGAGCAGTCTTAAAAATCTTGGATTCGTTTTAGTGCAATATAATTTGTTTGAACTAAAAGCTGGATGAATATAAAAATATTCTATTGAACTGCGAGGTTATTTGATTTAGTCATTGGAAATAAGTAAGATTAGTAGAGATGAGTAGACAACAGAGATAAGTATACCATTGCTGTATACAAATCGAGGCTCTGCCCAGGAGTCTTCAAAGAAAATCCAGTGATAAAGGATGGATGACATGGATCATATATATTTATTAATATACAATGTTATCATGGATATAGGATACTGCAAGTAGACTTTTAAACATTTATTTGAGAGGGTGACTTATGATTAGTGCAACAATAGTTATTATAGGCATACAATTTAATTAGGACCAGTCAATTTCTATGGCTGATCTTCCTACAGGGCTTGCATTAGTATGAGAGTATTAAAGTATTAGTTTTTTTATTTAATTGCTGTCAGCCGACATTACTCACTCATTTATTTTCTATCCAAGTCAGAGTCTTACTACTTTAAATCCATAAGATATATTTTTAGTTCACATCCTTTGGGAAGAAGAGGATTTTTTTCTTACACTTACATAAAAATAAATATTTTTAGAATGAATGTTATTTAAAGCAAAATTATAACTGTAGCGAATAATAATAAAACCTTTTTAACTAAAACTTAGAACCAATTTAACTATGTTGTATTCCAAACATCCTGCAACAAAATATAACTTTTGAAACTTGGTCTAGTCTATGGAAACCCTTTGGAAATATTTAGACCATCTTATTAATGAAATATTCAAAAAATTACATTTCTAAAATTTCTATACGTAAAAACTGTGTAAATCATTACGTTCAGTAAAATAAGATGCATTTGCCTTAGCACACAACAAGTCTTGAAACATGAAGATCTTATTAGAATACTGGAATACATCATTATTCTGCAAATAATAAAATAATTTTTACTAGTGATTCTGCAGGAAATTAGTCTTGCATATACTCCACTTTAGTTATTTCAATTTTGCAAAGATTTATGTAGCACAGACTAATCTCTGGTTTCAGACAGTTAAAAGTTTAAACAAATCTGTGTGGCGTATTTTCAAAAGAAAACGTTTTTCCTTCCAATTTCTATTTTCTTGTGATTACTAAATCTTGTATAATCCTGAAAACATAAACTTATACAATAAGTTTAGATATATGTTATATATTATTGTTTATTTTACAGTTTAAAAATACAAACAAGTTTTACAATAATTACAATGACTATAAATTAATTGTAACATTTGACTTGATCATTTAATTTGAAATTTGTTAAAATCTGCAATCTCCAAACTATTTTTTTGAGTCTTTGGGTAACAGAGAAGCTGCTGTCTTATCAGAGGAAACAGTAGTTGGGACACAACTGCAGACAGACAGTTGCCGAACTAAACGCTGAGTTTTTAATTTTGCTGATAACTGACAGGAAACACGTGTGGTTCTTGGAGCTGAAGCATCACAGGAGCGACACCGCCATGACACTGCATCAGCATTCGCCCTCCAACATCCTGTCCTGCCTCAGTCCTCAGTCTGTCTTCAGCAGTCAACTATTCTGGTTGCTCCTCGGTAGCTTAAGTCTTTTTGCGGTTTTGAAATGGTGTACGTCAAAAAAGGTCCAAAAAAGAAGCAAGGGGTGCATATCGTGATGAAGGGCTTGGAGGAAGAGATCCACGATGTTGTGATAGATCACTGGTATCAGTGGAACGGGTGGAAAAATAATGTAAGATTACTCTTGATGTTAAATTTTGTCAGTTAAAAATGCATTTAAAATAAGTTAACTGGTAATTTGTTATTCTTCGTTCCGTACAATTTTTTTATTTGCAGATTAAAGGAAAAACTAGAAAACATTTTTTGAGCTAAGCACTTAAACATTTGTAATTATAACACATTAATCATCCATTCCATTTCACTCTGCTTATTCAGCTTAAAATATTAACATTTAAACATTTTTTACCGTGTATTTTACTGTGCGGTTATAATATTAGCACTGACTATTTTATACTGAAGTAGACCATCGAATATGGGTTGACAAAATATTTCATTAAACAAGAACTCTGTGAGCCAGTCACATAGTGCGCTAGTTTCAAAAAATTCGTTTTCTATATAATTTGTTTTACAGTTGCATAAGTTATTCCTTGGTAAAAAGTTTGTGTATTCGACAGAAATTTAGATTAGAAATTTAGATCAGCTCAATCTGTTCGATGCTCACATAAAGTACGGCGATTTTTATAAAAAAACTGGTGACAACTTTAACATGGGGATGGAATGTCTAGTTGTATCAATATTTAAAGGTATTAGTCAGTAATGTTTTGATGGTTTGTAACTGGCCAAACTATTCATGACCATTGGGCTTTTAATAAATGTTCATGATGAAATAAACATCAGCTAGTTGTAGTCAGGAACTCACTCCATTATACACAATTCTTTATTCATATTTGGATTACAATACACCCAATTGTATCCTCACCTTAATTATAATTTTATACAGGGTGGCGCAAAAAGGATGGTCGGATTCGAACTGCGTAGTATTAGTAGTTGGGGGAGGTTCGGGTCCACTACCTGCCATCTGTAAGTCGACCATCGTACCCAATTTGCAGCGATATGGTGCAGTGGACGGTCGAACACTGCATTTTAGCTGTGGAACAGTTTTTTTTTTTTCAGAAACAGTGAATCGTTTTTTCTTTGTAACGGCTGTTTCGACAACATATCACGTCGGGTGACTGCATCTCGGACAACAGGGTCCGTCATGGTAAATCTACTGGATGGCAGTTACTCCACAAAACATGGAGACCGTATGAGCGTCAGTACTTAAAAGTCCGTTACGTTCTATTTATAAATTAAAAAAAAAATTTTTTATGGTTTTATTGACATAGCCTACTAGCAAATTTGCAACTTACAAGGTTATTTTTTGTAATAAGGAGTTTGAAAGTGTCCAGAAACGTAAGTCAGTAAAATTTATGCGAAAATCATTTGTGTTATGTTAATTTTAAAACCGACCATCCTTTTTGCGCCACCCTGTATGACCTATCTTCACATTCTAGGATGCTTGGCTTTGGTCCAGAACCATTTTACACTTCAAGCTGAGAGGGTTGTGGTCTTGGTATCATCAAATTAGCTGAAATTCATTGGTGATTGACGGAATTTAAACACAGAACCTTGGGAACCATAAGCTCTACCCCAAGACCAGAATTGATAATAATAATATTGTTTGTTCACAGTCGAAGGTGATCCCCAACCTGTGGGGCCCGTACCCCTCTACTGGCTATTCCGCCCCCGCTTACCAGCCCATTCCACCCACCAAGTGGCCATCACAGCCTGATCCCATTGGTTAGTAATACAGCTATTATTATTAGCTAATAAGTAGCTAGTAGGGCTAAGTATATTTCTGTTTTGTTTTAGTAGTAAGAGTATTAATGTTTTTGTTTGTTCACATAGTATATAATAAGATATTTTTATAATCGATGCTAAGTGAGCAATGCTTTTTAGAAGTAAGATCACATGTTTCTTTTCATTCAAACCGTAATATTAACCACATGTTGTAAATTATTGTTTGTCTATGTTTGATTTTATCATTTAAAAGTAAGTAAAAGCTTTGAGTTTTTTTATTTGTTTTATTGTTTTAAAATGCTTTTTATGTAATGGTAAGTTAAAAGTTTTTGATTGGTACATTTATTGGAATTGAATCTTATTTTACACTGTTTTTAATTTCAGATTTCAAAAAGCACCATTTAAACATACATCAACCCCGGCGACGGGTACTCTGCTAGTTACTTCTAAAAATGACAGGATAAAGTAGGACAATTCCACACTACAGACTTTATAATTAAATCAACAAATAAATTCTGATTAAAATTGTAATTATGTTTTAATCTTTTTAGTTGAGCTGACAGAAAACTTGGCGGAACTGAGCTTAAAACAGAAGTCGACCAAACAACCTCCTGCAACATACCTGTGCCATCTGTGCTTTGTGACGGGGCATTACATCAAAGACTGTCCGATGGTAAGTTACAAGCAATGAGTCTGGTTTTGTATACAAGGAAGGTAGAATGGCTTGAGAAATTAAGATTTTGATTTCATACTAACATTATGAAACCATTCAGCATTTCTTAAGTCCTAGTTTTATTCGAGGTTCTATGTATCAACAACGGACTTGCTGTCCACTGAGTGAAATAATTATTCGTTAATGTTCTGCAACTGTTGCATACACTTATCATTGCATAAGGTTCTTCTGATTTTATTTGATACTCACTATAAGTGCTGAGCACACTATGTTACAATAACTATTACAGGATCGTTATAATAAAAACTTGAGTAAATGACCACTGTTCATGTATTACTTAATAGCTGTTATTTTAAAGGTAAGGGTTAAGTGGAGGGGATCTATTTCTTCCCCTAAAACCGCCTAAATATTGTGAACAAATTATAGTGCACTCACCCTAGTTTAATTTAGCTACAGCTGTTTCTTGACTTAAACTTACATCTAACCTTCCTCTTAACTACTATTGCAGAAAGTTGTGTACATCTTCAGGTCAGGATGTCAAGCTAAACAAAAACCCCTCATTCATTGAGTTAGTCAGAATTCTCAAATTAAAAGTATCATCACAATACAGCACGAGGGAGTTTTAATCAGCTTAGTCTGATCTGAAGATGAGCTTAATTTAATTTCTGTATCACAAAACAGCTGGGATTATATTATTACCAGATCATTCTGTTAGCTACAGGTAACCTAAAAATGTGTTTGTTCTTTCTATTGATACAAAGATGAATACACTAAATAATTCCTTGAACAGCATTGTACATGGAATTAAATTTTTCCAAGGGTTACGGTGTTAGACATATTTTTATTTACTTTCTGTAAAGACAAATCCATCAAGAAATAACATTGTTCCATCGTTTTAAACATTTTAATAACACAAAATACTTGGTTTTCAGGCGAGGCCTAAGGGAGAAGGCCTCACACCATACCAGGGGAAGAAGAGATGTTTTGGTGAATACAAATGTCCAAAGTGCAAAAGAAAATGGATGTCCGGGAACAGTTGGGCAAACATGGGACAGCAGTGTATCAAATGTCACATCAATGTGTATCCACACAAACAGGTAAAAATACCAAGTCTTCCAAAACTTGAATAATGAGGTTTTAAAACATTACAACATTAATTGAAAATAGTGTTTAAAATGTATTATTATTTATTGCCTTATCACCAAACAACAATCCTTTGCTAGATGATTTGGAAAAATCTAGTACTTCCATACTTCACATTCACCCACAAAGAAAATATATAAATGTTTCCATACAAATTTAAATTGTGATGCAGGGAAGCTAAGGCAACACATAAGTGTTATAAACCTAAGATTTGGACTTCAAAGAATCCTTTATGAGAGTACAAACTTTTCTTAAAATCCAGTTGGTCAGTCTCTTTTTCAACGGGGTTTGACGGAAAATTACATACTTCAACCGGGGGCCTGTTGATAATTTTACAGGCCAATACTGGATAACGGTTCTCAGCTTAACTTAAGCGACATCATGGGATGTTTAGGATGGTTTGAATGCCAAGCTGATCAAAAAGTGGATGACAATGTACTCTCAAGTCATCATTCTCACAGCTTTCTTCTGCATAGAAAGTAAAATGAAAATGAAAATACTTCTTTATTGAGGCGAACAAATTATCCTCATGATCCTTTCTCACAGTTAGCCTCTAGAAAACGAACAATAAAAAAAAACATTACAAAATGAAATTAAAACAACAAAGTTTGTCATAAAAAAATATCGCAAATAACATAGCATTTTGTTTACTTCCCTAACATACACACACACCCTCTGATGCACCCAGGCCTAATGCAAGCCCTCCTACCAAGCCACGGCCATCTGGTTAAGGTAATATTAATTCAGCACCACCATCAGTCGGGCGCTCTTGTTTCGGGGCAAACAGGGAACCGGTGTCTTCAGGATTTGCATGGACATCTATTATGTTTTATCAAATTATTGTTGACATTTTCCATAACGATTATGGAAAATTAAAAATAAAGTTTTGACAAATGTTAGAACTTGATCCGTTACTATTTGATGGTTCGAATTTGGAAATAGCTGTCCTTGATCATTGGGCTTTTAATAAATGGTCATGGCTAAGAAAGAGCTAGTCCTAGTCAGAAAAAAAAAACTACACACATTATATCTCACTTTATTCAATTTCTACCCCATAAAACCCCCTACCAAAATCGGACAAAAATTACTCAAGTTATCGTGTTCAGGGACCTATATACATATATACAAATTTTAACGTATATTGTTTTTGGCCTCTAGGGATATCAAAATGAAAAAGTATATCAGTCCGGGCTCTAGGTCTTATCAACTACTTTCCTATAAAGAAATTTGCTAAAATGTGATGGATGTCATGATGTGCCATTTGTGATATTATGGTAACAAAGAACCTCTGATTCCTTGGAGTTTCAGAGACCTCTGGAGAAGCCTGACGGCCTGGACGTGTCTGACCAGTCCAAAGTCCATCCTCAGCACCTGTGTCAGAAGTGCAAGTATGTGGGATACTACTGCAGGAGGGAACTGCCTCTACAATCCGCTAGACCAAGCGGATAGACACTGGCTTCCTCCTTAATGTAAGTTTCATGCTTGATCAGTTATCCAAATATTAATCTCTGAGTGGATTTGAACCACTAATGTTTTGGTAACATAAATCTCATCTTTAAGGACCAGCTATAGCCAATTTTTACTTTATCGGGGCTGTTACATATAGAGAAAGTATTGTTTTCTCCAAAATCTTCGAGTGGATATATAACCGCTTTTGGGTTCCCCTGAACCCGAAAAAAGTTTTCAAAGTGATGTCTGTATGTGTGTGAAGGTGGATGTGTACAAAGCTACGGACCACACCTGTGGTCCGATTTTGATGCCATTTGGAATGTGGGTGGGTAGGCTACTAATCTATTGTATTCAATATATATTTTTTTAAATAGTAATTTCCTCATAAAACCCATAAAATAAACGGAAAATAAGATAAAAAAACAACTTTAACGATTTTGATTACAAAATTATAGTCCTTTTAACTCTAAAATGTTACAGCCCCCCAATTGATGTAAAAATTAGATTAAAAAGTTATTGCAACTTTAGTGATTTTCTCCATAACATAGTATAACTCCCACTGCTTACATAAGGATTGTTGACAAGCTAATCGGAGAAAGCATGTGTCAGATTGATGATACAATTTTTAATTTGTTGTGTATTTACATAATTTTCATTTCTTACATTTTAATATAAGTGATGTTCACATCTGCAACTGTGGTCCTGTCAATTAATGACCCAATGACAAATATCATCTGGGTCCAGAATTGACTTGATTGGAATAAAACCAGCAACCTTCATATTTGAAGGCTAACATTGACAACCACTCGGCTACCCAGGCAATAATATTTTCTAATTTCCTAGACAATTCAAATTTAACCAAGTTTAACAAGCCACAGACTTTAAACATATTACATTGTCAAAATCATAGTTTCTCCCTTAGGTTTTGATACTATTATATTTTATTTTACACTAAAGATGCTACAGTTCACAATTCATGGACTTTCGGCTTTGTCCAAAAGGTGTACTCAATGTAAATCGTCAATTGCATAAATTTGTTTATGATCGTTATTATCTCAAAACTGACTATCATTCTTTAAATGGCTCATTCAAATATTTTCTATTCGGAAAAAAAACATTAGCTACTACTGGTATCCGAAAGTCAATAGATCTGGTGTTAAGTTTTATTTTACAAATATACGATTACAAAATACCAACTATATTATATTGTTTTCATGTTAGGTTGTGCTTACTGTTCACTACTGATGTTTAGTTGGCAGACTATTAAAAATACCATATTTTATCCTCAACAGTTTCCAATTGACTAAAGCGTTCCACACGCGAGGACACTTGTCTAGGCCCAACTTGCAGCTATTAATATCCGGCTCAGTCCCACTTTCTGTGTCAAACCTCATTATTGACATGAAGCTTTTGTTGATGTGAGAGTAGAGAAATTTATGTAGTGGGCACAAATCATAGACATAAAGCATTTGGATATTAATTTTTGTAAATTGTTGTTTATACGCTAAATGTTGTTAGAAATAGAAAATTTGTTTTACAATAAAATTATTATTATTGCTACTATTGTAATAATAAATAACAGTATTTTAAAGTTCACTACCCATTTTAAATTACATTTTTTATTCCGAAGTATACATGATGTCTTTAATATTATTGATATATACATAATTAATAATCGTAAATTAATATAAATAATCTGAATGAATTTCAACTTTGTTTGATTTTTATTTCTTCTTGTTTAAATTTTCTAAACACTATGTTTATTATTTATTTTTTAGTTTAACTTTTTTAAATATTGAGTTTAGACTATTAATGCTCATGTTAAGTATATTTTTAGGAAGTTCCTAGTAGTTAGTGTTTAAATTTAAATTAGATCTTTCTCATGCTCTTCCATTTCCAAAATGTTATTTATTCATGTTTATTTGTTCATGATTTTTTTCATGTAATGTTCAAACTAATTTTCAGTTATTAATTTTTGTATACCTACAATTTGAATGTAAAATAGGCTACTGGTATTTTACTGTAGTTAACTCAATAACTTTTTATCCTAACTGGCTACAACGTAACATGGAATGAGAATGTAAATTCAATCTATATCATTAGTTAAATTTAGTAATATTATGTACATTATACAATACGTAAACCCACAAATAATTTTCCTCTGCATCTCTAATAATAAGACCCTAGCCATTAAAATGTGTATGAATACCAAATCCAATAATTATACCATTTGTGCAGCACGGAAAATTACAAAATAAACAAAGACAAAATACTAACAACTGATGGTTTATTACACGGTTTTTATATTTTTTGTAGGTTCGGATTTTTGTCTACAACAGTGTTCTAACCTACTATTTCCTCTACTCAATTTGTATTATAGTTTTTATCCATTTTAAATTTCCAATTACTACCTGTGTATGTTGTAACAGTGTGACCACTATTCACCAATGACTTGTCTACCAGTATGCTGCTGTTACAATAGCGGCCTGAGCTCCAATACAACAACAAAGTTTACAATCGAATCTTGGTTCCCAGATGGACATAATTAATTGTCGCTATAATAATAGACGTAGGGTAGAGTGAGAGAATGCGGCTATTCTCCCAGCTTGTTTTATATTTAGTCTCCAACAGGTGATTCATACATTCCTGCTAATCTGGACCCTCCTGCCTTCAATTTTAATTTCTCAATATTGATTATTATTTTCTTTTTCAGATGCGATCAAGAAAAGACATCGACGCAGCTGGACTGCTCTTTTTTACACATTTTTTTACTCGATAAGTTTTACAATTCCATCCATTATACATTTTATTTTTTACAGATTTTTTATTTTGTTTAGTGTTAAACAATTTTATTTCTTGTATGTGGCGCATAATGCGTTCAAGAGAAATCTACTTTTATATTTTATGTACGGTGATAAACCCGTCTAAAAGTGTATACCTTATTTGATTTAATAAATATTTAAAAAGGTATTTAATGAGTATTTTTACATGGTCCTTATGTACAAAAATTATGTAGATAATTTAAACCTATATTAGAAACCACATCGATGATCTCAGGAAAAATTTTGATTTTAAAACAATCATTGAAGAGAAAATATCTATTGGATTCTGTTTCATTGCCATCATTCTTTTCTTTCAATAATGGTGGTACTTGTATTTTTGACTACAAATTGGAATTTAGAACCAAAATATAGACATTACCGAGGAGGAAATAATAACACAATTTTTGGTACAGGCTCGTTTATAGAGTTTACTTTACAAATATACTCCTTTATGTTTACTATAACTGCTATAAAGAAGTCTATACCATTATGTACAACATTCTTGAATAGTAAATTTTGGTTTATCTTGTTATACAAGAACATAATATACCGTATATAGGGACAAACAATCTAAATCATTAATATTTACATTCATTAAATGGAATGGTACCACCATTAACAACAAATAAAACAAAAACTACAGTAAACACATACCACAGTAACAATAATCTTTTGGCCAATTCATAAGTAGTTTTTTTTTTTTTTTTTTTTTTTTTGTCCTAGGACGCTAGGCACGAGCCCGGAATTGTTTTTCACATTACTTCAGGCTAGACCTAGGGGTTGCGGCATTATCACATAGATAAAATCCATTGGTGATTTGGCGGGATTTGAACCCGGGACCTCTGGAACCGAAGTCCCGTGCTCTAACCACTAGACCAGCTCGCTCCCCGATTCATAAGTAGTTTATTGGAATGTATTGTGTTAGTAGGGAAGTACTGAGGAAAACACTTGAACAAAAGTAGGGCTATAAACATCCTTGGCTAAAAAATTCTAAATTAAATATAAAATTTTAAAATTTTGACTTTGTAATTTAAGTAAGTCATAATACTCATAGTGGTTTTTTTTTTATTAAAAAGGACGAATATACACGCTAAAACGTATAAAATTCAATATAAAATATAAAAGACAACCGTTTTATACCAAGTAAAACAACCTCGTATTTAAAACACTAATGCCATTCAAAGAATATAGGTAGGTACAATTAAGTGACGCTAGTATATGTATTTTCATAAATGTGATTAGGTACAATAATATTCAATATAATATACATTATTATTAATGGCAAGCCATGAATTTCAAAATAACATTTTTCTATAACATTCCTCACATGAAATGTTAGAAAACCAACATTTCAAGTTCAAGCTTAGTCAGGTACACTGTGAATTTCAAAACTGGTCTTTTGATAACTATTGTAATTGACATTCTTCTTTTCATATACAGCGTAAACAGCTTATTTGGTATCCACCAAAGGTATCTAGGAATTATTAGGTTCATAAAAAAACTTGTTGTGAACTTAACCCTATTCTCATGTATATTTTGTAATATGGAGATTTACTAGGGAGTTCTTACAAAAATTCCAATTTAATGAGATGGTTTCAGACTTTATATGCTGTTCATCTGTCCTTTATTTAAATTACAAATCTATCAATTTCAAAGATACAAGCTGTGAAAATTCAATATTTTCTCTATAAGAAACCAGGGGAGAGAAATGATATATTTTGATGGTAGACTTGTATAACTTCCTAGGTAAAAATTTTTGAAAAAGTTGACCGCCACATTTACGCACATATTTTTACAAACATTAAGAAGGAAAAGTTCCTAATTTAAAGCTATTGCTAAATCTAATAGTTTCTAAGATACCAATGGTGGCTCACTCAAGCGGTTTACTTTGTATAACACTATATATTTCACAGAGTGGGGGTGAGAATTTGACTAGAAGATTGTGCTTTACATAATGTTAGACATATTTTACCGTATTTCAAATGCAATCAACAATAACAGAGTAACCAATAACAACATTAACCTACAGAGTTGCTCACAATTAAGAATCCGGAGGAGATATTATGGGCAGAGAAGATATCACTGTGTTTTCTAAAAGTAGACCTCCACCTACGACAAAGATGATAAGTGTAAACTATATAAAACTACAATAAAAATAATTTCAGTGTATTTCTTTAATAGGATTTAAATCTTTTTTGCCACAAGCTGAAGCTAAACGACCGATGCCAAGGTCGGAAAATTATCAATAGTTGAAAAGACAGTTTACCCCATGTGACGGAAAATTCTATCATGCTATACCATTCTTTAGCTAACTAATTCCCATGAAAAACCTTTATATATTAGATTGTTTGTCACCAGTTAGCTCCAAAGTTGGCTCCCACCTTGTTTTGCTATACAGTATTCATAGTCGTTGCGTTACTCATAATACCATCAATGCAATAAAAAATTAAAATCGCTGAAATATTTTTATATTATAATTAGTGTATATGGAACTCAAATTTGTACCTTCCCATAGGCTTCATGTTTTAATGTTAACCTAATGGAACAGTATTTTATGGAATAGTTTCATTATGTGTACCGGTAAATAATTAATGTGTTATAGTAAAAATTAAAAGAATAATAACTAAGAACTAATTTATTAGTTTTGCTGCAGTGACTCACCAGAGCTAGATGGAGGGGAGGAACTTTGCGTCGTACCTTGAGGTTGTACCTGGAAACAAACTTTCATTTAACACTATCATGTGCTTGTATACACTGCAACCTACTAGAGTTTTGAGAGTGGTATTATTAAGAACTCTGATACTGCACTGAGGGGTGATTGTGATGATCAAAGGTTGAAATGAGGGATTACAAGCCATCATGGTGGAGAGATTCACATAGTTAGAAACCTCGCTACAGTAATTTTAACTTAACTAATAATAAAAAATAAAAAAATAAAAAAAAACGGCTATACCTGTAAGTTAATTTAAAAAACTAACAGATTAGTAAAAAAACTTTTCATTAGATGTGCACAGTTAGTAAAATACAATGGTTTCCAAACAATGAAGAAATACAGAAATAACATCTGTATGCAGTAAATGGCACTATACCTTATCACTATGCTAGTTGCTCATTCAATACAATATTCTATTTGAGTAAAAAATAATTACAGCTGATAATAGATGGAATGTATACTTTAGTATCCATAAGTCAAAGGCTAGAGAACATGTGGACAAAAACTAGGTTATGTCGTGAATAATTGAATTATATTGAAAAAGTGGTGAATGTGAGTCATATGATTGAGGCAATCCAAACGATTTAAAGTAAGAAGCAAATGGATCCGGATGAAAGGGAGTCTACTGTACTACATATTATGCAGTCGACTATTGTACTTTGATAGCTCTTCCTGCTGGATTAAGTAAGTACAGTAGAATCCCTCTCATCCGGACACCTTTTATCCGGACATCGGTTTAACCGGACTACACTCGACGGAAATGACATCTCTTTAACCGGACAATTATTACCAGCACATTGGTTTAACCGGACTAGATCGGCAGGAAGTGGGCGGTACTGTAACGACTGTTCTCGTGGGAAAGATTTGAGACCAGTGATCACATGTCTAAATACAATGCTCTCCTAAATTTAAGTCGAGTATCACCGTAAACGGTCCATTTTATTGAGTTTTTGGGGACGTCGGCTTAACCGGAAAAACCGTTATCCGGACTGGCCTCGGTCCCGAGGAGTCCGGATAAGAGGGAGTCTACTGTAGATCCAAATAGTGGTACTGAAATAGCGCTAACATTCTTCATATTATAAAGTTTATTTATTTTGACCACAAACCTGGACAGATTGGATGTTCAGTTATTCCACATTAATGATGGGTTACTTAATGTAAGTTTTATGTACAAAGCCCCACTCACCACATCTTGGTAGAAGAACTGAGCGGAAGGTGGAATAGCAGGTTCAGATGGAATGGTGGCAAACCCATCATACACTGGCAGACTGGAGGATTGATCATCAGTGATCTCCGCTCTGGCCTGGGGTACTGGTGGTACTGGGGGTACTGGGGGTACTGGGGGTACAGGGGTTGCACAGGGCAAGGGAGGGATGGGGTACAGGGGGGAGGGAGGTAGAATAACAGGGGATGTGGAGGAGTGTGGAGGATTAGGTGGACCAATAGGAGTGGAGACAAGCTGAAAACATCAAAGCTGAGTTTAACTTAAATCGCAGTTTGGCAATAAGCGGCAAAACAAATTCATTACACTAAGCTAATTCCTAATAAAGATAAGTTTTTTCAACAAATGGCCCTAGGACAGGATTATGATTTTTATATTAGAGCATTAGAGGAATAGCAGCTTGCTTACTTAGTAAAGCCCAGGTAAGTTATTAAACACTATTGTCAGTATTTAACCATGCATCTTCGCAGAGACCATAGAAAGTCTCTGCGAAGATGCATGGTTAAATACTGACAATTTTGCCCTAGGAGATGATCGTGAATTTGCCGAGATTGTAGGTGGCGATGATAATGTCGCTATGACCGCTTAAGATGTTCACAATTTTGCTGTGACTGCAGAAGACATTCATGATTTTTCCGTGACCGGGGAAGATGTTCAAAATTTTGCAGGAACCACAGAAGACATTTATGATTTTGTAGTGACCGTCGTAGATGTTCCTGATTTTACAGTGGCCATAGAAGTTCACAATTTTGTCGTGAACGGGGAAGACATTGACGATTTAGCCGCGGTGGCGGGTAATTTTCATGGTTTTGCCGCTATTATTGGAAACAATAATGATGTTGCTGTGCCCGCAGAGGAATTTCAAGATTTTACTGTGACCGCAGAAGGCGTTAATGATTTAGCAGAGACTTCAGTGGAGAAAAACCATGTACATTATATATAAACAAACTTACTTATACAAATATTTATTGGAGAAAAATTACTCCGTCCCGATCTGATTTTGGCTTGAGGATCGAGGGCCATAACTATTTACCATACTCAAACCCAACCTAAATTAAAAAAGTTTGACCTACAGATCGCTATATAGAAGATTCTGAAAATACACAATATTTAAGCAAAATGTTTGCCGTCTTGCCTGTAGACTCCTATTACAATATTTACAACTTATAAATGTAATCAATTCCAGAACTACCACCAACCTCAACCTAAGATAAACACATCCTGGAAACTAGCTGAATTTGTATCAGGTTTAGGATGTGTAATGTTGACTTAATAAGACTATCCGATATTGATAACTTGAATGTACCTGTCCCATGTGGGGGAAGATGGTGGTAGAGGTATTTTGTCTATTGGCGGAGACTGGGGCTGCAGGCGGGGGGCCCATCACTCTCTCTGTTCTGCAGAACCAACAATAAACATTAGCCTATACAATTTAACCTGAAATAAATGTTGTTACTATTGGGTAAGACGCACATTTCTAGCTTTTTAGTATTTTATTTAGAAGGACTTATTTAATCATGGGGGGGAGATGTGATTCAGTTACATTGAGGTTTTAACCACCTTCCCCCCTCATTAGAGTCCTGAGGACCAAGATTTCTGTGTTCATTCATTGTTAGGTTTATCCTATTTTAACATTTCATTTAGCTAAAACCCTGATGATATGTGTCCAGAAGAAGAGTATTTGAATTAGAATAGTTTGCTTGGAGAGTTAAGTTTGAGGCAACGACATTAGGTATCAGAATTTGGTGCCACTTATGTGAACAACACACGATGGGCAATTGAGTTAGGTAGCGGGAGTAAAGGGTGAAAATTTTGAATGACGACTTTGTTATCCCCTCCTTCTTAATTGAATTATTTTAAATTGTAACCAATAGGGTTTTGTTCAAATTCCAACCAGGTACATTTTTTCAAGAATTAGTCACAATGACACCAGCAAATTTCTCATTTCTTTCCTAAAAAAAAAATATTGCTCTATCAATTCCTTGCGATACAAATTTAGATTAGGATTTTACCCCTAATTTTAAAATTCTTTCCGTAGTCTTCTTTTTTGTAGTCGAATTGTGCCATTGACGAGTCAAAGACTTCATACAACCTTCTCGTCAAACAGCATCTTCAATACCGCTTTCTTTTGGTTTTTCAATATTTTACAAGAACATATTTCCTGACTCTTTCCTCACATTCACTTGAGTAGAGAGAGATACAGAGCAACAGTGCCACTCACCTAGGCACAGTGACTGATGGGGTTGCTGGAGCTGGTACAGGTACAGGTATAGATGCTGATGCTGGTGTTTGTGTGACAGAAGGAGTTGGTGGATTAGACAGCTGGTCTGGAGACACTGGCTTGGTTTGTTCTCCAACTGAACATTAAATCATTATTATTCATTTTGTATTCAAATCATTAAAACTCAAATTATTACTCTTTCTTTAGCCAATAGTTTTATGTAGTTACTACAGCCCGCCAGAGGTGGTTGCTGAAGCATGCATCAGATGTATAAGACATATAATGAGGACAGGGTTTAACAAGAACAATGTGCCAAAAAAAAACTGAATTTAAATGTTGCAAAGAGTTGCACTAATACCTAACGCTACACATTACTGTCCCCAAGAGTTAAGAAGTCCCCCGAGCTCTGACCTATTCACAGGTTGAATGCGTTACACACTAACGCTTCGCGCGACAATCAGAGCTGCCGTTCACTTAGCTCTCTTGGTTACAACTCATGATTTTTTATTTTATATCTGTATATGATAACTATTCATAACTGTTATAACTGTATGGCCTATTGCTACTTTTTGGTATCCGTTTAGTTTAAATGTGATAGTAGTTTCCCCTAGTAGTATAGACCCCGCTCTCTACCAGCTAACTTTTTTTGTACAGTACTGTCCATTAATGATTATACACAGTGAACCTATACACATCGTAAAATAGCACTGTCATTTTTTCGGTTTCAAATTTGTATTAAGTGTTTGCATAACTTGAACTTATAAAATCAAGCCAAAATGTCGCCATCAATGCTCAGGCTACAAACCTTGAATCTTGCTGAAACAAATTGCAGGAATTTAATAATTAATAACTCCTATAAATACTGCATACATATTTTTCTGGTTTTCAGAAAGTATAGCTTTTTGATTTTTAAGCTCTTCAATACAAAATCAGGGTGTCCACAGAAATGTTGTCATTAATTTCCCTGACTTTCCATGACTATCCATGACCATTAACCATTGATTTCCATGACTCACGAACTTTACTCGAAAATTATTAACACTTGAATAATACTGCCTAGACAGAAAATACTGAAATATGTATTGACAGATAACAATGGCGTACAACAGGTACAACAATGAACTAAATACAAACTCAAAACCTTTAAACTAAGACAACTGTATAAATTGAATTGTCGTACATTTATGAAAAATTAAGAAAAATGCTACAATAGTCGGCCGACTAGATCATTGAAAGGACCCCTGAAATCCACCCATCATTGGGGATTTCCATGACTTTTTGCCTATTTCCATGACTTTCAATGACCAGAATTTTTTTCCATGACTTTCCATGACTATCCCTGACTTTCCAGAATGTGGACACCCTGTTAAAGCCTGTATAATAGCAGGGTGTCCACAAAAAATTTGTCATTAATTTCCATGACTATCCATGAGCATTTACCATTGATTTCCATGACTCACGAACTTTACACGCAAATTATAATATAATATACATACACAAATAATACTGCCTGGACATGTTATTTTGCAGAAAATACTGAAATATGTAATAACAGATAACAATGGAGTACAATAGGTACAACAATAAACTAAAACAAACCGAAAACTCATAAAATAATACAACTGTAATAAATTGAATTGTCGAACATCTTTGAAAAATCCTGAAAAATGATACAACAGTCCGGGTTACAGCTGACTAGAGCATTGAATGGTCCCCTCAAATCCATCCATAATTGGAAATTTCCATGACTTTCCATGACTTCTTGCCTATTTCCCTGACTTTCCATGACCAAAATTTTTTTCCATGACTATCCCTGACTTTCCAGAATGTGGACACCCTGAAAATTTAGCTTATTCAATTTTTGTTTAGGCCTACTGGTTCATTGGTGTTTGACTGATCCAAGTTTATTTCACCACAATGTTTCTACACCATACCTTGCGTGTCCTGTGAGGGTGGTGGAGGGTGACTCTTGATCAGTTCCTGGTGCAGGTTAGGCAGGAAGGAGTTGATCCTGTCCCACGTGAGACTCCACAGCTGGGAGTGACTCTGGTCTGCCGTGGAGAACACTCCCGCGGAGTCCATCACTAGCAACATGTTCTTCAGCGACTCTGGGATAGCCTCATACTGCACAACCACCATCACCACATCAGTCTTTCACACAAATAGGATATTTTTCTGTTTCTTACAAAACGAACAGCAGCGATGCCTAGACCGCAAGATATGCTCACAGGTATTACCGTGATCGCGAGAAATGATCAGGGGTGGGGCTGAGACTACAAGTTATGCTCATGATGTGCCGCCATTGTAAGAAAAGATCAGCGGTATCGTTTTTGTTACTATTCTACTAGTTCCTTCTAAAGAATCACCCTTGGACGGTTAAAACATTAGTTTAATTGTGTTGTGAGGTTTTTGTGTGCTATCGACAGTCTAGATCTATTTTACAACATGAGATAGTAGTGTATTCATTTGTTCTTCCTTCTTGTACAATATAATAAGTATACTTACCAACAGATCACTCTTGTCCACATGCATGTACTTGTCCATGTAGTCTAGTATCCTCATCCACAGCGCTGTGAAGGTAGGCAGGGACTGTAGAGGGGTCAGGTGATGTAGGAACACCTGCAAAGTCATGTCATGGTTGAGAGTAGTAAATCGATTCAAACATAAAATGCTGTGTTTACACGACACAGTGCTATTGCTCAAAGTGTAGCACTGAGGGTACACTTTAAAGTCCCCCTATTACCCTGGATAATTGAGGTTCCACTGTATAGCCTATGAATAAAACTTATTAGGTTTTTTATTTTACTTTTTGTTACAGTCACTACAGACTTTTAGAAGTTGTAAAGTGTCATTTTTAAACAAGTCTACTTTGTCGAGGCCAACAGCTTATAGTAGATGATGCGGCATAAACTATTCATCTATCAAGGTAGAGACTTGTTACTCCACTCACCTTAGACAACAGTGTGGCTGCTCTCATTCTTGTCTCCTCCAGTCCCGAGTGGTCGTTGTTGGGCATCGGCTCTAGTAGTTTGGACAGTAGAGGGAACAACACTTTGTTGAAACAAGACTCCCACTCATCCCCGTTGAGTGTCTGTAGGTCGTGGACCAACAACGCTCTCTGCAGATAGGTAATGGCACTCATACGCACCTGGATGTGTGTCAGATTATAGTGTTACATCGTTACATCCTTTCAGTTATATCATTGACTATGATTAAAACTGGATATTCCACTCATGTTAAAATTGTAACCAGTTTTAGAGCAGAAAGGAATTTAGAGCCATCTACAGAATGTGATTATGTAAATAACTGATTTCTGTAGAGTACACTGAGTACCTATAATTAAAGTGTTTTAAACATTTTAAAATTTACTTGAAATAATCAGATGGCTTTTTGTCTCCATGTTTTAGTTTTTTGTGTGGTTAGTATAAAAAACAAGAACAGCATCTACATTCTCTTACTACTGGGTCTCTTAAACTATGTAAGACGCTATTGTTACTTGGACAACAGTGAAAACTGATGCCTCTAGATTCCAACAAAAATTTAATTCAACCAACCAGTTTTAAATTTTTGGTTGTGTAAACTAAAGTATATTTTTGCTTGGGCTGAGTGCATAGTGGTCTACTATAGTTGGTCTTACCTGTTTCCTGGTGTCGCAGCAAAGTCTGCTAATACCCTGCAGAAGCGGACACCAGCCTTGCGCCCACAGTGAGGTGAGCTCAGTCTCTGCGTTCTCCTCAGCCCACCACCTGTAGATCTGAGCTGTACGAGTGTGTAGAGTGTGCATCAGGTCCAGCAACTGTCACAACCATACAAGACAACAGTAAAACAATTAGTATAGAAGAGAAATGCCAAAAAGGAACTGTAGCAAAAGAAGTCATCTTGACGTCTCATGGTGCTCTAGAACTAGTCTAATACACGCTCCACAGAAGGAAACAAATCCAGAGAAAATAACAGACCACATAGGCACATTCGACAATTCAGATTTCTGAAAATTTGGATTGATGAGTTTCGTCTAAAATATCCGTTATTTTACTGTAGCAGATATACTACTAAAACAAAAGGTTAAAGAAAAAGAAACCATATTTTATTGTTCTGATTTTATTTCAAGTCTATCATTGGCCAACTGCCCATTAGTTCTGCCCACTCAGATGGCTCATTCAGTTTTGAAAAAATCACAAGAATGATGATGATTTATACATTTATTCTTAACTTCACAATATGCCAATCAATATGTTATAGTCTAGAGGTATCAAAACAAAAATTTATGTAAAACGATTAATGAACAATAATTGTTTTAAATTATCAATATTAAATTGTAACAGTGTTAAATAAATAAATAATTTTAAAATACCAGCAAAAAAGGGAACCATCTATCCACACCTCTAAATAAGTTTTAAATTTAATTAAGATTCAATTTGTTAAGTACAGCGGCAGTTTATTGTAAATTTTAGGTCCCATGTGCTGTGGTGAAACAAGCCTATGTTTGAATGAAATTATAACTCTTGTGTATCATAATTGTGGTCAGATTGGTTCAACATGATGTATATCTTTTCCTTAACCATTAAAGCAATTTGATAAATATATTATGAGCTGTAGAAGGTAGGAATTTTGAACGGAATGAAATATAGACTGTGTAGCTATAAGTCTGATGGATATCTTTGGGGAGAGAAGGTTTGGCTAGCTTATTGTTGAGTGTATACAACTATAAGATCCGAACAGCATAACTGTTAAGTTTTTAATAATCAAGGTATAAATTGTGTACCAACAACATTGATATCCAACAGCAGGCCAGCTCACCTGAATAGGCACCTGGTGATACCCACTAGGCACTTCCTCAGAGTCACTCTCATCAGCGTCGTAGGCTGATGTAGGACTGCGAGCTCTTGTTTCCTCCTTCTTACGACCAGCCACTCGCCTCCTTTGCTTCCCACCTGCTTCCTTGTTTGTCTTCCGACTTTTGCTGCCTGCAATTTCAAATAATTTGTAAAAAAAAAATCCACAGGCCCAAAAAATATTTTTTTTTTAACTCCAACTTTTCTATGTCAAATAACAGTGATGATTATATTTTTGATATATTTAATTGTGGTGTTTTCTTTGTGGTAGGACGGATTACATCCCATTTATAAAAGCCTGTTACCCAATTTTGTTTGGGAATGTAAGTAAACAATTAAGTTCACAAGATAACAAACAGTACTCACTGGACTCCAGGCTAGCCTCGACGAAGGTACGGATGCAATGTACACAGTTCTCAAAGTTGTACGGAGTGATGTGCGCGACATCACGTACCAGGAACGCTAGACTCTCACAACACTTGACCAGAGAGAAGGGATCATGGGATGCAAGGTCTCTCTCCCCCCCTCCGCTGAACATATGGGAGAGCGGACGATTCAGAGGCTGGATGTCCCCTTCACGGCCAACCTGCAGCAAATAGGAAGAGAACATTAGCTCATTGAAAAAATAGGTGTCATATTTATCACATAACTTTTAAAGCGTGTTATTTTATAACACATCACTGATACAAAAGTCCTAAAGTTGCTCCATTTTACATCCAACTACAATCTGCAACATTTCCCCCTCTCATCACATATACCAAAGTTCTCTACTTCCACGTGAGACATAGACATACCATTATCCACCCTCCGCCAGTGTTGGGGGACAGCTCTGGACTGGTGGTGTTAGGACTAGAGGGGATATTCTGGTTGAGACTAAGCTCTGAGTCAGAAGTGCAGCCTCGCTCGTTCCCCAAGCCGCTGTCTTCCTCAATACCAAACTTGGGGTTGAGTCCCACCTCCCCGTCTGACTTGGCTCCTAGACATAAAACGTTAACCAAATTCAGAAAAATGACATACGATTGACTCAAATCAATATTACCTTGGTAGCTTCTAGAAAATTAGTGTAGAAAATTCTTTTTCTATATTTTCCTGAGATTAAGTACAGAGGGACAGTATAGAGTAGTGTTGCCCCTCTTGGAAATAGCACTTGGCTGTACTTTTGTCTATTAATTCATATTTTTCCCGTTTAATGTCAGTTTGTGTGTTTAAATACAATAGGTTAATCGTGTGTTTGAATATAGTAAAGTAGTTCATACAGAATCATTCCTCCCACCATAACATTATTTTGTTATTTTCCAAGATAAAAAAAGACAAGTCACTTTTTGTCAATACTCAATTAAACACCTTTTTTGAAAACCAGCAATTAAATTTAGTTAACAAGAAACAACTGCAATTTATTTTATTGTGACAAAATAAAAATAGAAAGAACAATAGTGAATATAGAAAAAAAAAACTAAGAGAATTCGAATTGTATGAGAATTGTTTAAGGAAGTAGATACAGAAGCAGCAGAAAAATCAAGACAACTCAGATTGGATGTACAAGTACATAGGATGGAAAGGAACTCAGCATTGAAAATAAAAAGGAAGAAGATCTCTACGGTGACCTGGATTGAGATAGAGGGGCCATGTGAAGAGGGATACAAGGTAGATGGGAATAAAAGGAAAATCCATGCAAGACGAGACGAGGTGAAGGTAAATTATTGGCAGACCAAAAATCATTCATGGTTTGATTGTCCAAAAGAAGTAATACAACTATGACAATAGTGATGCAATCCTAACCTGTCTCATGATGGGAAGGTTTGCCAACCACCCGAGGAGGAGGGGCTCCAGCACCAACACACTCCAGTAGAGTGAAAATGATAGCCCAGTCTGTGGCCGAGTGTATGTTGGCAGCACTCGTCTTCAGCAGCTCGTACAGTCCATACGACACCTGTCTGGCGACCCTGGCTAGTGTAGAGGCCTTCAGCAGCAGTAACATCCTCAGAGACTGAAGTACCTAGACACGGCGATATACCAGGTACTCGGCAAAATTCATCAGGCGAAGTGTATGCACACAGAGTGTATATGTCAAGTGATACTAGTCACCAATGGACTCACACAGATGTTAACGACCTGTGGGCCAGACTCTCTTACTTAAGATCGAGTTGGATCAAGTAAAAAAGTTTGGATCATTGGGTTTTAGCCTCTCTGGTCCTTTGGAAAGTAATAATTTTAAAAAAATATTAATTGCGATCGCAGCTAATTAAATTATGAAGCTTGGCTCGGCTACACCGAACCCGAGCTTGACCCTAAAACAATTTCTAGCTAAAACCGATCCCTCAGACCAACCGCATGCTAGACACAAACAAAAAATATTGGGGAACCCCTAGAGTATATCGAGTGCTCCTGCTCACCCCTGAACTCACCCAGATCGTATGTATATCGAGTGCTACTACTCACCACTGGGCTCATATCCTCACGCCGCATGAGTCGTATCGCAAGTCGCAGCAGCCCTACCACCGACCTCTCTACCAGGAAGTGATGGTCACAAGCAGCTGCTCCCATCAGCAGTGTGTATATGTGGTCCCTCACACTCTGCCATATACTGCTCACTCTGTCTCTGTGTGCAACATCACTGTTACTGTAGTAACCATTGTAAATTACTACTTCACTACATATTTGACCAATAAGCCTCTGGATCTCTCAATTAATCAAACATCGTTTAGATTACCTGATCAGTCAAGAGATCCATGTTTAGTGGTGCACTGCTATAGTTTTAGACTTCAGGTGTAACAGGAATACAGGACAAAAGTGCAATCTGGCTGATGCAGGTAGATCCTTTTAAACCTTATTTGTCAAACAGCACGTTCCAATCGGACCACTTTAAAATTTTAAACATACAAGTCTTATATTCCATCAGGTTCACTTCCGAGTAACAACACAACATAGTCCAAAGACTCCGTTTTTAGTAGGTTACGCAGCGATCGCGTAAAGATAGTTTTAACGACACGAGTAGAAAATTTAAGGTACGAGTGCCTTAAAACTTCTACGAGTGTCGTTAACGCGAGTTGCGTACGCTATTTTACCTACAATCGGTTTTTGTTTTTAATTACTAATAATCACTAATTGCACCACTCAACAATTCAATTGGTAAACAGCCGATTAGCTGAAGTTCGAAGCATTACAATCTTACTTCTTCTCTCTCAATTCTTAAACCTCATTGGTCCGTTACCCGTGTTGTTAAGTAAAACTATGCTGTTATGTAAGTAAACAATGCTGTTATGTGAAAGTTTTAAATTCTAAGAACTAAACTGAAACTGCTACTTTAAAAAAATGTCGTATACAAAACTATTGAACTAAATGTTTAATACAATCGCCTTTTCAAGAGAAAAAATTGTAATTGTGATATATTAATATTAAATCCTACCTGTTTTGTATCACAACCTTCAGAAGTAACTCGAGGAAAAACACGGCAGTGTCTTCATTGTATGACGTACCAAGAGAAACGTGACCTTCAGGGCCGTATGATGCGTGTATCAGTGCCTGGAAAAAGTTAATTGAGTTATTTTGAATTACATATTCCAAGAGGATACATAAGTTATTCGATTAAAACAATTATGTCATTAATTTAATACTATGAATGGGTTTTTCCAATTCTTGTGATATGATGTAAAGTAAGTGTTTTTTATTAGTCAGTACCAGTAGAGACAAAAACTAGTTTATAAAACACCATCTTAATCATTAAATGTCGACATAGCACACAAACAAAACTCAAAACTGTCAAAAAAGACAACGACAAATAACAATGATTCCCCGATTATGTCTTGTCTTGTCTTCCAATCCCACACAACCAAGTCTCAAGTCTAACAGCAAACTCACTTAACAATGCTAAACAATCCCTTTTTACAATATGAACCCTCCAATAACTACAGATACGATCTTAAAATTTAACATCAAAATTTAACAATACAATTTATCTAAGACAGGGTGTATACTATTTTATTAAAGTGAAATTCCAGGTTTTTTCCAGGTTTTTTCCTGGTTTTTCGAAGTTTTTCCAGGTTCCCGCGTATTTGTTGGTTCCACTTAAACTATAATCAATTTAAGACTTGCAGCTTAAGTATACAATATAAACTTAGGCCTACATCAAAAGTCCAGTGAGCTAGTGTTTAAAAAGTAATAATCCTTATTATAGTAATAATTTTCACTATCATCATTACTTAAGGCCACGGAAAAATCGTCTCTCTCGATAGCAGCAAAATCCTGAATATTATCTTCATTTTTTATGAACACATTATCAACGGCGGCAAAATCCTGAATATTTCCTGCGGTCGTGTGGTCGCTTCCCACAGTGACGTACACGTCATCACAGTCTTACGTTATCATAGAAAAATCCTGGACATCTCCCGCGGTATGTATACATGATCGCCGTCTCTCGCGATCACGGAAACATAATCATCGTCATCCACGATCGCGGCAAAATCACGAAAATCTTCCGCGGCCGTGTGGACACCATCATTGACTCCCGCGGTCACGAAAACGTCATCGTTGTCGTCCGCGATCGCGGCAAAATCACGAAAATCTTCAGCGGCCGTGTAGACACCATCATTGACTTCCGCGGTCACATAAACGTCATCGTCATCGACCGCGATCACGGCAAAATCACGAAAATCTTCCGAGGCCGTCTAGACACCATCATTGACTCCCGCGGTCACGAAAACGTCATCGTTGTAGTCCGCGATCACGGCTAAATCATGAACATCGGCGGCCGTGTAAACATAATCATCGTCGTCTTTCGCGGTCACGGCAAATCACGAATATCTTCCGCGGCCGTGTGGACATCATCATAGCCTCCCGCAGTCACGGAAACGTCATCGTCGTCATCGTCCGCAATCTCGGCGAAATCATGAATATTTCCCGCGGCCGTGTCTGCATCATCGTCGTCATCCACGATTTCGGCAAAATAATGAATATTTCCCGTGGCAGTGTAAACATCATCGTCGTTTCCCGCGGTCACGGAAACGTCATCGTCGTCGGCCGCAATCACGGTAAAATCATGAGCATATCACGCGGCCGTGTAGAAATCATCATCGTCGTTTTTCGCGGTCACGGCAAATCACGAAAATCTTCCGCGGCCGTGTAGACATCATCATTGCCTCTCGCAGATATGGAAACGTCATCGCCGTCGTCCCGATCTCGGCCAAATCATAAACATCTGCGGCCGTGTAGACATAATCATCGTCGTCTCCCGCGGTCACGAAAACGTCATCGTGGTCGTCCGCGATCTCGGCAAAATCATGAATATTTCCCGCGGCAGTGTATACATCATCGTTGATCCCGCGGTCACGGAAACGTCATAGTCGTCTCCCGCGGTCACGGAAACGTCATCGTCGTCTCCCGAGGTCACGGAAACGTCATCGTCGTCTCCCGCGGTCACGAAAACGTCATCGTGGTCGTCCGCGATCTCGGCAAAATCATGAATATTTCCCGCGGCAGTGTATACATCATCGTTGATCCCGCGGTCACGGAAACGTCATAGTCGTCTCCCGCGGTCACGGAAACGTCATCGTCGTCTCCCGAGGTCACGGAAACGTCATCGTCGTCTCCCGCGGTCACGAAAACGTCATCGTCGTCTCCCGCGGTCACGGAAACGTCATCACCGTCTCCCGCGGTCACGGAAACGTCATCGTCGTCTCCCGCGGTCACGAAAACGTCATCGTCGTCGCCCGCAATCGCGGCAAGACGCATTTTACGACTACAATCTTCTACCGGGGCTTAAATAAAAATCCCGGAATCGGTCCAAAAATCCCGGCTTTTTCCCAGTTTTTTCCAGGTCCCTTCAAATTCAAGGTTTTTTCCCGGTTCTCCCGGTTTTCCCGGTTGGTATACACCCTGTAAGAGGTAAAACGTTTGATTTAACTGGAATGATATACCTTGATGAGTTCATGGAGAGAATCAGATCTTAGAAACTTGGACTCTGTGATTAGCTGTTCCAAATGACAATCCCTGATACAGGCTTGGGCTTGTCTGATGTGATCCTGATCTTCAGGAGAAGGGACTCGGTGACTGGACATTTCTGAAACATCATGCAACTTAATAACACTTTGAGTTTAAGTGAGTAAAAAAAAAAAAACTTTAATCCGAAATATTTGGTTATCTGAAATGGGTCCGGTCCCAACCATTTTGGACTTTTGGGAACTCTACTGTATTAAGGAGAAGAGATGAAATTGTAATAAAACTATCATGGAAGTAAAACCTGGATGGAAGAAAACTGCCTGAGCATTAAAAAAGGTGGAGGAATAAAGTAGCCAGACATGAGAACGTTGAGAGCCAGTGGAGAAGACCCACAAGGGTCAAAATAAATGGAGAAAGTTAATTGATCACCAATTAACATAGTTTTTGTTCAACTTTTTGTGAGAAGACAATATAAGTTTAAATACATCTTTGAAATACCATAAAATGTTTTGGATTCCGTATGGAAATAACAAAAACTAACAAACAGGATTTGTTCGAAATCTAGAATAGTTTTCTAGCCCTTATTCTTGGTACAATCTGAAATTAAATTTTCTATTTAAACTGATAAATTTTCTAAGTGGTAAAAAAATAACAACAACCAAAAAATTTTAAATCTCAACAAATTTCCCAAACACTAAAAGTAATGTAATTCATAAAATGTTGCATTGTATATCTTACCTGAGCCTAATGAAATGTATGAATAGATTGAACTTAGAAGGCCCGTCTCAGCTTTTTGACTAAGCTGTATTTCTTCACGCATAAGTGAGATTTTCCCACTGAGCTCAATAAAATCTTCTGCCTGAAAACAAGTCACAAACTTTCATCAGCCGCTGTAAAAAATGTTGGTCACATGTATTTTGTTGATAATCTTAATATTGATGGAGTGATCTAACTACTTACTTCTAGTTACTTAATCTTCTAGAATAACACAAGATAATATTATTATAAGCTCATAAAAACAACGGCTTGCTTTTGTCTCCAGATAGTTCCGATGATTGTCGAGGGAGCGTTGCACCTCCCAAACAGAGAGAATCGAAAAAAAAAAAACTACAATTCTATATATTATGAAGAGAAACAGGGGGCCACTATGGGGTGGACAGCTGAGCTGAACAGGACCACTACATGTAGCCACGAGTTACAGGGCTACCTTCAGCGGCCTTCCCGATCCATAGGGAAGGAAAAGAGAACAATAAATACATACGCAAAGAGTTAAACTCTAAATCCTTTTCAAAACACTTCATTTGGCCATTTGGCTTTCTCTTAAAATATGACAGTTGCATTTAATTTTCACAATATTTAGCCTGGTTACCTCCACGAGTATTTTCGGCAGCAGTTTGCACCTGTACAGCTGTAGTATACAGTCCAGCACATTCTTCCACCCTTCTCGTATTATGTCTCCGTGTCTGTGAGCCAGGTTGAACACAGTGCTGGCTGCCAACAGGGCCTTGGGGTTGCCACCAAAGGATATCGTCAAACTGTCTGGCGACTGGCAGAAACAATACACATTCAATGACTTTAGTATAAATGGGTTGTTTAGATAAGAACCCCGGTTAACCAAAATCGGGTTAACCAAAACCCGGGTTAACCAAAACTGTTCCATAAATTATAAGTTAAATGAGTACAAGGCTACAATAAAAGTACAATACTTAATATATGTAAATAGTGAGGCGTAGCGCCGAGCTCCTCTCTCTAGAAAGGGGCTTTCCTTACACAATGTAACATTTTTGTAGCTGAAATAAAACACTGCATTGTATAGACATAGACATAGTTTTAAAATCATTTTTCCTTAACCGTGGTAATACATAGGCTATTTTCAGCATACGAAGGGTTAACCGAAAAATTGGTTATCCGAAACAGCTCTCCCCCCTTTATTTCGATTAACCGAGGTTCTACTGTATTTTAAATACAACCAACAAAAAACAATCATATTTTTACTGAAGAGATGTCGAATTGGAATCTCAAAACAGAAAGATATTTCACTTTGAGCTTCTATTGGCTGAATCTGAGTCAAATATCAATATTATGTTACTTAAACTACTACAACCTGTGTTTATTCAAGAAAGTAAACATAATGTGGTCAGAAAGGTATGTTTGAGACCTGAATATTGAGGATTCTTTTAGAAAATCATTAACGTTTTTCTGGAGGGATTAAAATAATCTAGAATATTTTCAGGGCGAGAATCTTGCAAAATTATTGCAACTAGTTGTTCTACGCATGCTTCACAACGGGGCAAGATTACTTAAGAGAATAATTTGGGTCTCTAAATCTACTGTAAAAAAAACCAAAAAAACCACACAGAAATAATTATAAAATAGTGATAGAAGAATACATGTGCATTGTGCAATCCTTTAAAATATTAGAAGAAACTCAATTCCAAATAATTGTTCCTTTAACATTGCTATTCTGAACACATTAAATATCGGTAATATACTTTTATTTAGTTACTGAGAACAGATCTTAAAAACATCAACAAATGTATACATATTTGGATTTTTTAAAATTCATTTAACTATTACAAAAAGTTTCATGCAGTAAAACACTAATTTTTAGGCCACAAAATAATGTAAACTAGAGGTTGTCCAGTGGTTAAAAACTCAACAAAAAATATGTAGGCCTACAGTTGGATTTTTTTTAGCTAGAAGCTGTTGAGGTGTGTTTGAATGTCTTTGAGGATGAACCTTTTTGGCTGTAGTGAGTGTGATCATGAGTTTAATGTTCACATGTCAATTTTTTAGGTTAAATCAAAACAAACAAACTGGCATGTTGACTCATAACGTTAGTCTATAAAGGTTTATCTCGTCATCTCAAGAGTATATAATTTTAACCCTTAACTTGAAACCCTTAAAAGGTGAGTCTGGATCTTAAGATATTTCCAAACAAAACGTAAATCATCATTATGTCACAACAATTTATCATGTGTATACCAGCCACAGCAACTACATTATTCTATTAATACAATTTTCAACATTAATTTTGCAAGAAGATTCAGTATTTGAATATTTGCTCATATTAAATGAATTATTTTTAAAGCAACCATCACTTAATTTGAAGACAATGATTAAATAATAACTTATTCGCTAGTTGATTGATAGGTTCACGTCTCTATTTCTCAGTAAATATTCTCTAATGACCAAGTGATTTTATTAAAGTAGAGTAACGTAGATAAAGTAAAGTAGATCATATTAAAGCTAACAAAAGTTTTAAAATGGTTTTTACCTCATTTGAGTTGATGAGCATTGTGAATTTGCAGAGGGACACAATGAGATTGTCAAAATCATTGCTCATGCCATAGTGAGCAGAGATCATGGCGCACTTCCTGTTAATCAAAACAAGTTAGGCCTACCGTAAATTATGTTAAAATGCTATAACATAGCAGGATTTCACACTTTGGTACTTATTACTTAGCCCTACTGTCAAGACATGTATTACACTGTTGGTGTATCAGACAGTGTTGAGTTTGTGCAGTATTGGTATGATACTGCAACTGTAGTCTACAGTATGCCTATCATCACTGCTCTTAAAGGCTGTAAGTGTACAGCCATCTTATGACTGATTCCAGGAATTACAATTTATTGTTCCTACAGTAACCTGACAAAGTGGGCTTCCTTGCACTGATTATACTACAGAAAGCTGCTATTTGCTGCAATTACTTACTTTGCCGCACACTTTTTACTTTGTTGCACTTCACTCACTAGTTACACAAATACTGTAACTATTGGAATGCAGATAAGCCATCTTTGACATTATTCTGGACATTGTCTAGAGTCTGCAAAAGGAGTGATGAAATTGAAATTGATAGACCATGAACAGCTGTTGTTTCACTCCAACCAGCTATTGTTGGGTCATAATCAGTTATTGTCACAATCAAACAAAAGTTCATGAAGACACTTGCAAAAGCAATAAATATTTTAGAACTTTGATTGTCTCACCTAAATCCCGATATGGCCTTCTGATAGATGGCAGGGTCGTGGCTCTTGTCAAACATGAAGCTGAGGGCTGCCACTGTGGGTCCCCAGATGAGACTGAAGAGGTCGTGATCGAGGAGACCATTGGGAGCGTGGATGTAGACTCCGTCTTTACCCTCCCCTCTCCTCAGCAACACCTTCCACAAGTAGTTGTCTCTGACTAGACCAGTCTGCTCGGCTGGCATCACAATCTCCTCATTCCTACAAGAGATGAACAACAGTTAGACGAGCAGCAAGTCGATGTCTGCAGCTGTTTGTGGGCCGTTCAACATACGTGTACGTACAGCAGGCTGTGGAGTTTTAAACCCAAATAAATACTTTTTGACATTTTGGCACTGTATTGTTTGTTCTTGTTAACAACAAGTTCATTTCTTGGAGAACAGATACACTTCTTAAACCACCTAAGTTTTTACTTTTAACAAAAATAATAACTCAACATTTTGTACATGTGTGGTCCCTGCAACTACACACAATCTTTTGACTAGAGCACAGGTAAAAAGCTGCTATTTTTTAGTATCTTACACTTACACCTTAACAACATTTAATTTATAAACGCACATAATTCATGTATTAAATCTTGAAAGATAATTCTGGATTAAAAGAATGTCGACCAACTAAGTAGTTTAACTGTAACTAAGATCAATAAACAAAGGTCAACTTACTTGATAGCTATGTATATATCGTCCAGCAGATCCTGGTCGAAGTCTTGGCCTCCGTTGACTTTCTTCAGGTTGCGTTTGAACTCGTCCGCAGTCATCGGGTTGTTCTGTCTCTTGACGTTGTGGTTGTGTTGGTCCACGTTCAGCATTATCACAGCATACGCTAGAGTGAAGGCTGCGTCAGCGTTGGCAAATGGTTCTCCATTACATTTCTGTGGACAAACTTTCAGTTAAAGTCCTCTTTCATCTGAAAAATACATTACCGCCCGACACATTTTTATTTCATTGGCTATTATGAGTATTTGTACTGGGAAAATGTGTTTGTACTTAATAAACAGTTACAAAATTCAAATCTCGCTAAACGGGATGTTGCCCAATGCCCATGTGCAACTAAACTCTAAGATAGATTAAAGATAAAAAATTGCAAACCAAAAGAAACTCAATTTAGCAATAGTGCTTGGTGGTGAATTTAATTTGATTTTGGCATCAATAATGTCACAGGTAACAGAACTAACTGTAAAAATAAAAATTAAAACCCAAAGTAGTTGCAGTTGCGGATTGGTTAAATATACAAGAGTTAGACTTACATGCCAGTGTTCTGCAAAATGTTCCATCAGCAAGGATATTAAAGGGGACTCTCCGGGTAGACGGAAAGTTTCAAGATATAACCTCAGAGCTTCATCTATTCTCAGGTCTGTAAAATCAAAAGACCTGGAAAAGAAATAAAGTTAATGACCTATATCATGTCAAACTCCAACTTAATCATTAATTAAACTTCAGATTAATGTCAGAAATATGCTGGTATTTAGTTTGACTGGGCCCATAAGAACTATTGTGTCCTGAGAGCAAAAGTTTAAGACTACGTTTTAACTTTTAACTAATTATGTTTTTGGCTCAGAATGAATCTAATTCTACAGCAATACTGTATGAGCTGTAAATTATGGTCTTAAGATACGGAACTTTGGAGCTACTGCCACAGTCTCCTCAAACTTTCTTCTGTGCTGCAGCCAACCGGAAACAAGTATAGGAACTTGATAGGACTAAGCAATCGGGTAGAAATAACTTAAATGCTCTTGGTTTGGTATCTGGGATGACAGTATTAAATTGCATTTTATGCAGGTCAGAAACCCAGCCTGTCAACCGAGGCTTATTTCAGTAGACTTACTATCATTTTGCTTGGCCGGCTATTAGGTAATGTTTCCAATATTTGTTTTAATAAGTCCCTTTATTATTGTGTTTAATGTTCCTTGTGACAATATGAGTTTATGGCATTTAGTCTTATGAGAATTTAAAATGTAGCTATATTTCTTTGAAACTAGTAATTTAATGATAGTGGATTGCGGATTGACAGTGGCAAAAGATACGTAACTTATATTATCTTGTATCAATCTTGGAGACAAAATGATGAAATTCCTTACTTGACAAACGCGTCGAGCACAGCCAGGTTGTTGCGGCTACTGATGTATTCCCCGATCATCTTCTTGTCCAGGTGGGGGTTCTCCTTGAGGAACTGCACCACCTCATGTGGCTCTAGACCTCCGGACAGGATGTGATGCTCCTGCAGGAACTGTATCCCTTTCTTGGGCTTCACGTTAAAGTGTTCCGTGCCCGTCGCTAGTAACTGGTGAGAAGAACAGTTATTACAATTATTACAAACAGAAATTGTGTACCATAAATAAGTGACCTGTCCCAGATAATGGTATGGTAAAGATTGTATAACTTTTGATTGTGGTTTGGTTATGTGGTTGTTTAGATTGCTGTTGTTGTTTCTGGTTGGGTAGGTTTGACAGTAAAGGGGTTTTCTCACTTTCCTTAAATAAATCAAAATCTTTAAGTTCTCCAGACTTTTGTGATAAGGAATTATCTGCAATATGCGTAAATTATCAATTACAACAAGAAAAATGTTGCAAATTTCAAAGTCAATGAGTTGATTACTAAGTAAAATATAAGAATGTATAAATGCACTGTAAAACTACTTTTCCTTTTGACTAAACAAATATTTTATTTAAAAACTAAAAAAGTTGCTTATAATTCCAGAAGATTAAAAAATACAATTGTTTAACTGTTATAATTTCTGTGGCACTGAAACAAAATCTGTGTCTGTATCTGTTTACTTAAAATCGGTAACTTATGTGTCTTCAGTAACTGGTATAAACCCTGTTAATTCATGGAAGTAATTCTAAACATTTACTGTAACTGGACTCTTCAACTCGAGTCTCATTCATTTCCAAACCAAATTTCCAATTAACTTTGTTGTATATTCACCTTCTTCTTCCTCTTAATCGCCATCAGCTGTTCATGACTAGGAATGTTCTGAGAAACTTTCTGTCTGCTGACCATCACACACGAGGGAGTCACTATGTTGATGGTTCCGTCAGATACTGCGAGAACAAGACAGTGGAATGTCCTTTATTTAAACTTCTTTAATTCATGTTTTTTTTCTGTCCTTACAATTACCAAAACGATCAAATCAAAATAGTATAGGTAGTATAGGTACCTAATCCTACTAAACTAATATTATAAATGAGAAAGTTTGGACGTATGTATGTATGTATGTATGTATGTATGTATGTTTGTGACAAGTAAACAGGAAAAATACTGGTCGGATTGGGCTGAAATTTGAGGTGATGATAGCTCACATTCCCGATTAACATATAGGCATATTGTTATCTCAAAACTCCTTTCAGGCTTCGCCCCAGTGGCTCTAGAGTTTCCCATGTTAACCTTATGGGTATTCACATTAAAAAGGAATTAAAAAATTTGGCAGCTGATTTTACCAATAAAGTTATTCTATGATACTGTATTCAATAGCATTAAAAGTTATAAGGTTTACCAACAGGGTGCAGCAATATTATATATTTTTCCATTGTGATAGCAGCTAATTTGAAGTAAGCAGCATCAAAAAGCTGTGATACACAATGAGAACTGTCAAAGTAGGATTTTTACAGTAATGTTTATATTTTTAATTTCAAACATAATTAGTGATATTGTGTGAATGTTTGATAATTTACTTTTTTATATTGTTCAGGTGCAGGGGTAGAACAGAATGGCTATGGTAGATGTGTAATACTATACTGTATATACTATACCATATCTGTTATACTATAGCATACCGTAAATATAAAGAACCAAATTCTCTCAAGCCTTATCCTCCCCTATTGCAAACGCAAAGCTAGAGTATAACTGCAATATGCATTTTATACTTATAAGCCAACCCCGTACGAAGAACTGGTACTCTGCTAGTTTGAATATCATTGTGAATAGTGAATTTTTTTAAGTACGACAACTAGCTGTTTAACAAAATCAATGTGACAACAAATCGGCAATCAAATAACATTGTGTGAGCATGGTATTTTTTTTAATTTTGATTAAGTGAAGACATTTTTTATGTTTGCAAAGATCAAGCTTTATTAAAGCCAATCCTGTGTACAACTTATATGTATCTTGTGGTAAAAGTAGCAGAGAAATAAGCACTTAATAACTCTTATTGTTAGTTAATAATGACTAAATTATAACTAAATTTAAATGTTCAAAAAGGCTAATATATAATAATTATTATAAGTTGCACTTAAATTTACTAAATACATGTATCACCAGTAATTGTTGTGCAATCAATACTTTTTTTTATCTCTTTATTACCTTATCTAAACAGGTATTTTTTGATAATTGAAATTTTTATTAAATTTTTTTACTTTTTATAACTTATAATTTTTTTTGTCTTTTAGTGTAGAATTATTCTAGTTCCAAACATACTGTATGTAAAAAAAATGTATGTTAATAAACTATCAAACTAAAATTACCTACATCAAACTTTGCCGGATGGATTATTTCCTATTAAAAAATATTTTGCTACAATTGATTTCATTCAAAAACACCACCAGTTATGTATTTCATCAGAGGTATTGAGTGATTAGGCCTACCTGGAGATCTGCGGGAGTCTACTTGTTTCTCGTTGAGGATTCTGCTGTTGCAATGGTGTTCTATGGTGTCTATGATGGTGAGTAGTGCGTCTAGAGACAACAGATGCGTGCTGTATACTCCTGTCACGGGGAAAGCGTTCTGAAAAACATATACATGTTGTTAAAAACAAAAATACAATTTTTAACATTATAATTAAATTTTTAGTAAAATTCAGGTCTTGTACTGTAACCAGACCAAGAATCCTCCACATTCGGATATCAAACTCTGGATATTGTCAGCATACATACTCCTGATTAACCGAGGTTGTTGGGACTGAGACTGCCTCGGTTACCAAGGATCTCGGATAAAAGGGAGTTTACATTGATTTTGAGGTTAAGGATACTAGTTCCAAATTAGCAAAGTCAAACACTTGGAAAATATATGTTTTAACAATACATAGCAAATTAAAACTGATAAAATGTAATTGTCATGCAAGTATTTTGTTTAAATAAGGTAGTGTTATAGAAAATAAAAATAGAAACACACACAACCGCCTTTGTTTTAAAAACTTTAAATAAAGTACGTATTATTTATAATCATGTTGAACCAATAGACTACAGTATTGAAACCAAACAATAAGGCCTTTTAGTTTGAAAAGCATAATTTTTAGATTTTGTTTGAGTTTCACCTGAGCTAACTTGACACAATCAAGTCTACTTCGTCTACATCATAAAATCATTATTATTTCAGATTGACACTGCAATTGCTTACGTTCTCCAGACAGCTCGGCCAGGTTGCAAATGGCTGGCAGCTAACCTAGCTTGGCTTAAAATACCTACTTTGTATGGTTGCCATTTCATTGAAAAGTATTAAAGTAAAAGTAAAGTAGTATTGTGTCTTTTTCATTTTCTAGGTTGTTGTGGAACATTCTTACGTTAAAATAATACTTAATGGCTCTTTCAAATATTCTCAACAAATCACAAATTACTATCTATTTTTATTCAGGCCAATAACGGGAACGGCCTTGGATAAACGGGAGTGTACTACAGCTACATTTTCAAGCCATACCTTGGACAAGAGCTTGGTCAGGTCCTCGTAGACGTTGGGGCAGTAGAGGTCACAGTCGTAGTTGAGGTAGAGTTCTGTCACTAGACCAGGGATCCTCCACAGCTGAACCACACATTCTGCAATTTGAAATGGCAACTTCAACTTACTGAGAAATTAAGATAACTCAATATTTAAATACATTGAGAAATGTTTCTAAGGACAGGGAACCAACTGTAAGACCAAAAGTAAGATTGTGGGTTCAGGTCTGAAGGGATATGAGAAAGTTGAGGCTTAATGAGCTTGGTGATCTAGAAGCTTTGATGATAAAGCCAAGTACTGACTGGGATACGAGTGGCCACTTCAGTAAGAAAGTACTATATTTTGAACATTTCAAGAGAAAATTATTGGATGTCAATGCTAGTATTAAATAAAAGTAAAACTCCAACTATCCAAATCAATTGGGACCACATTTGGGTAGTAAAAAATTCAAATAATTTGATTTTTACAAAAATTTACAATGTTTTACAGAAAATAGGCAGAGTCCAGCCGAGCTCTTACTATTGCCATCACAGGACGTGTCTGTGAGGATTTTGAGGTAGAAAAATTCAATTTCTTACTGTGAAAAAAATTCTTACTGTGCAAAAAAATATGACTTTTCCATGACCATGGGAGACGATTATGATGTCTACAAGACCGCGGAAGATGTTCAAGATTTGGCCGGAATCACATGAAACTATTACGGTGGTTGCATGATCAAAAGTTACAAATTAAAATAGTGTCAGTTTTTTTAAATTCAGATACCATTGTTTACATGTGGTTCTGACATCCAATGAGTTTTAAAATATAAATCAAACAGAACAGTTGATTGGAAAAAGTACCAATAATACTACTGGTACCTCATCGACGAAAACTACATTGCCAAAAAACTAATGGATACACTTAACTAGAACACTAGTGGGTACACTAATAAAAAACCTTTTTTACTTGATTTTTTGTTTGATTTTAATAGTTGAAAAAGTTGTTTTGTTGGAGGTCTAATTGCTTAAATGGTTTAACGTTGAGGAACAGTCTGGATCTTGATGATCCCTTGTACCTATCGACTTTTAGCTTGGAATTTATTGTCCCTGTGAAACAATGATAAATATGCTAAATTGCTGAGTTAAACTCCCTAAAGTAATATAATTTATTTGATAGAATAAGTCCTAAAATTAATAAACTTATTCTTAAATTAATAGGTAAATTTAAGAATGACCCAATCCTAAGGACTTACCCAATGCTAGTTCCTTTTGTTCAAAAGATATTTTGGAGTTGTCCGAGACAATTATCTCTGAGAGCCGTGACAAGAATAGCTCAAGTTGAAACTTTAAGTGAGTTCTGAGCGATTCAAAGAGTAAAAATGATACTTGAAGATTTGCTGCAAAGATGGACAACCTTTCGCTATTGAGCAACTGAAAAAATTAACAAAAATTATTACTTAATTGTAAAGAATTTAGGTAGTTAGGATAATTATTTGTGAATATTTCTTAGTCAAGGGGAAATTTTTTATTTGGCTCTCGGTTTCGATTACCACATATCCTAAAATTTACCCAGCACAGAAGGCTGAGCTGCCTTTTGTTGAAAATAATCAACAACTATTTTTCTTATCAGGGAAATTTATGTCACAACTAATTAACTACAATCCGTACTAATTCCTATTGAAGATATCTCCATCCTTAAATTCTGTTTGATATTTCATACACATTTTACCCAAACAATCTTTCTACACAAAAAAGATAACACCCTAAGTGTTTCAATGGCACCAGATCTAAGTCTACTGAAGATCATTACTCTCACCATGAACAGGTTGCGGCACAGATCGTCCTTGACTATTGTGAGCAGAGTGGCGTACTTGCCGATGGCGTCTGCGCCGACCTCGAGCGCCACAGTGAGCAACGTCAGTCCCGTGTGTATGATCACCTCGGAGTTCTCCTTGTTGAGAGGGTTACACAGTGACACCAGGAACCTGAACAGCTCTCTTACACACAGCACACCATATGGCACCAGTGGGCCTGCTCCTTGCAACACCACACAACATAATCACATGCTATATTGCTTCTAACAACATTAAGCTATTTATCCTATCACATAATTTATTCCATCCTAACTTAATCCTAATTAATGCTATTCAAGTTGTATTTGTTGAAAGGGTACAATTCCATTTGATTTTACCTGCCTGATCTTTAAGGGACTGCTTTCTTGCTACTTGCTACTTATAGCTTTCTTGTGGCTTTAAGGGGTGCTCCTCCGAATGAACTATTCTGACAACTGTATATATGTAACACATATTTTACTGTTATAACAAATTTTACTATAAAGAATAGACCACAAGAAAAAGGAACAGTTCCAATTGAAATGACTTAAGTGGTCACATATTAGCTTTAAAATTAAAATAAATAAATTGTAATAGTTTGAATGCTATAAGTATTTTTGTGCATCAAACTTCATAACAATAAACCCTTAGTTCTTGAATGCCTACGGTATTTTAAATAAAAAGCAAATGACAGTTTCTCCCTACCTTCCTCTTGAGGGGTGAACCTGACACCTTGAGAGTTGTACCACTCATGAGTATCAGATGACGGGGAGGTCGGGGATTGTGGGGCTGACTCTACAGGGGACTTTGGGGGCTCCACTGCAGGGGGCTCTACTACGGGGGTCTCGATTTGTAGAGTATCCACCTTGTCCTCTGGTGCTACATGTGTTTCACTAGATATATCCTCGGGCTGCTCTTCTGTATGCAGTTCTGTCTGTTCTGTTAATGCTAGTGCAGCTCCTCCCTACAACAAAATATGTTAGTTGACACTGAAAATGGCAATCTTATCTGGCATAACAGTAAAAATTTGCTTGTTTTAATTTAGTTAAAAGCTCTAAACTGTTCTGTCACTAAGTTTAAAGGTAAACATGGCCATGATGCTCAGCTTTATTCTGCAAATAGTCCTGCTATGCTACTCAGTTTGATGATACAAATTGCCTTGTCAATCTGTTTTTGCTACAAATTGTCCTACCACTCAGTTAGACGCTGCAAATTGTCCTACCACTCAGATAGACACTGCACATTGTCCTGCCACTCAGCTAGATGTTGAAAATTGTCCTACCACTCAGATAGACACTGCACATTGTCCTGCCACTCAGCTAGATGTTGAAAATTGTCCAACCACTCAGTTAAACCCTGCACATTGTCCTGCCACTCAGTTAGACGTTGAAAAATGTCCTGCCACTCAGTTAGACGCTTCAAATTGTCCTGCCACTCAGTTAGACACTGCAAATTGTCCTACCTACAACGTCTGTGTACATAGATGTTGCAAATTGTCCTACCTCTCAGTTAGACACTGCAAATTGTCCTACCACTCAGATAGACGTTGAAAATTGTCCTGCCACTCAGTTAGACACTGCAAATTGTCCTACCTACAACATCTGTGTACATAGATGTTAAAAATTGTCCTACCTCTCAGTTAGACACTGCAAATTGTCCTACCACTTAGTTTGGTTCTGCAAATGGCATTGTTACTCACTTTGATGATACATATTGTCTTGCCATTCAGATACTTAATATGGCTTTGTTACTGACTGCCAAACACTGTCTAGATCAAAACTATACTAAATCAAAACAATTTTTCTAAACCTTATGTATTTTGACAAAACTCACATCTTTACATTGGGGATCTTCACTGTCTGGGACAACCTCAACTTTGCTTTGTAATTCTCCATTGATCTGTGATTCTTCGTTTTGCGGTTGCTCTACTATCTCAGTCTCGCCACTAACTGTTTCCGTTTCATTTGCATTTTCATCTGAAAAGCACATCACATAAAATAAACAGTGCTACAACTTATGTGAAGTGAAATTTTTCCTTTGATAGCCTAATTGTTATATAAACCAAATTGTCAGACAAAATTTATCTATTTATATAGTATACACAATAGCCTACTAGAATAAGTAGTATTTTCAAACACAAGGAAAAAATGAATCAGCTTTCCTGAATATAAAAATGAGTTTAATAAAACTATACAACAGCACAAAACCTAGCTATAAATGTGGAAATGTACTCAGCATAAAATGATCAAACAATGTATTGCCTTCTCTGTGAAGAAGGAAGTAAAAATTGACAGTAAGTAATGGAGATACATTGTAAAATTTCTTGTGTTTTGCGGACATCTGATATCTGAAACAATTTTGTGGCCCAACTAAAATACCAGTGACTTTTCCAGGAAATTGGATATGACAGGGAGCTATGTACACTCAGACCCATTTAAGCAGTGTTTTATTATTTACTTAACAATTATAATATCAGCTCACCAAGATACAACCTAATCATGCTTATAGGATTTGGATGGCCTGTATCACAACCACCAACCTACAATAACAAACACATAACTAAATAGACGTTATAAAGCTAGTTAAATAATTTATATTACCACTAATGGGCGTCTGCACAGTGGGAGTTTCACTTTCAAGCTTCACCTCCGCCTCTTTACTTCCTTCAAACTCTACAGGGGTTGTAGCCAGTGGAAGACTTGTGCTCACTTTGTCTTGTGGAAAATTATCTGAAAAATTTAATTGGTTACAGTACAGTACATCGTTGTCATATAACTTAAAACTAAGGATTCTATGTGTTCAATCAATCAATGTATTTCTTTATTGAGATTTCTATACAAAATACAGGGTGGGGCAATGAAAGCGCCCCAATTTATAAGCAGTACAAACTCAATAATATTCACCCCATGGATATAAATAGCATATCAAAACACAGCTTATCTTTTGCCATTTTAACTTAACAAAGTCATTTTTCCATTTCTTGAGAACGAAATCCTGCAAGTGACGTCCATGTCCTACTTGACATTAGGCACTTAAAAACTCCATCAAATACTCCTCCAGCATTTCTTCAGGAATCACTTTAGTTTTTGGACAATTCTTAGCTTCGGTTCAAGCAAATCTGTGGGGTGACTTTGAAAAACCTCGAACTTCAAGTAGCTTATTAGAAACCCCCCCTGTCCAAAAAAAGGAGCCAACGTAAAGCTTTCAACAACAACAGCTTCCTGGCAAATCTCTTTGGACTTTGAGTTACTGCGACTCGCACTCTTTCAACATTTGCTGGTGTACAAAGAGTTTTGCGGCACCCACCGATAATTTTTTAGGTTTAAGCGTTTATCCTAAATAGTTTTACCCAGTTCACCATTGTTTTCCAATCTGGAACAATGCCATGTTGACCAAGGATGGAATGTGGTCCAAACAATCTCTGGGTTTTTGCACAAGAACCACTATTTTAAAAATAGGTTTGCACATCAAAATCTCAGTGTTAATAGCCTTGGGCATAATATTTACTAAAATGGCATAGTTTAATTGATGTTTTAAGCACAGCTGATCATTCGTTGTTGCAACAATTAACACGTGACAGCTAAAACAAATTGTGGCGTTCTCATTGCCCCACCCTGTACAATAGTGTCATACATAGATTGTAATTTGAATTTTCATATTGCTTAACAATTTTGATTGAAGAATTCCATTACTGAATAGCATGGTTGATCTATTAGCCAGTCTTTAAGTTTCCTCTTCAGATATTGATTTCTTAAGATCCTCAAGTGGTTGGGCAGGCTACTGAAGATCTTTCGTCCCATGCATGAAGGATTCCTGCTGTTGTATGGTGAGCTGAAATAAGGTAGTCTGTAGCTCTTCGAGTGTTGTGGGACTGAAAATCTTCTCGTCCTGTAAGTTCCCTCTGTGCTGTAGGCCTATATTTAATCACTGCAAGGATGTATAGTGATATCACAGTCATGATTTTAGTGATTAAGCTTCCCTGCAACTTTCCGTAGGGCTGAGGTCAGCTAGCGTTCTTAGAGCTTTCTTTTGGAGACGCGGTATTCTAGTTCAGTGGTTCCACCCCAGACCACTAATCCCTATCTTATGTATCCCTATCTTAACTTTACTATACATAGTTTTTCTTACTTGCAACCGATTATAATATTATGTCCAACATTATAACTAGTCAATCTATAAAGTATTGTATTTTTCACTAAACTGACCACTTTTTATAAATGTTTTAGTTTGCTTCATGTATTATTAAAAAAATTATTAAGCTCAGTATTTCATTGTTATATAGTTTTTTAAAGAAATAATTTCAAATAATAAAATAGTCTTTATTCACCAGAATATTAGGAGTCTCAGAAAAAATTTTGATATGTTTATAGCTGAATTATCAACGCACACATATACCCCAGATGTAATTGTTCTATCAGAGATATGGATAAATTCAAGTGAAACTGGTCTTTATGAAATATCAAATTATAAAATGTATGTGAAATGTAGTGATGATTACCGTGCTGGAGGAATTGTTGTATATTTAAAAGACTCGTTAGTGGATATTAATAATCATCAATTTGAATCACAAACTTCTGATGCTGTGCTTGTATCTTTCAGGATATTTGATCAACATTTTTATTTATTAGCTTTATACAGATTTAGTTTTTATCCTATTGATTTATTTAATAATGAACTTAGGATGATTTTCAGTAACAAGGATAACGTTTTTAATACATTTAATAATTTCTTTTTAGTAGGGGACTTAAATATTAATTTACTCAACGATTGTAGAAATACTGATATTTATAAAACATTTTTAGCAGGTAATGGTTTTGAAAGTCTGGTAAATGAGCCAACACGTATCACAGAACAATCTGAAACATGTATAGATCACGTTTTTGCCAGAGTTAAGGAAAAGAGCAAAGTATTGGTAGAAGCATCAGTTGACCAAGCTGATATCAGCGATCACTGTCTGATAAGAGTTGTGGTCAGTGTGGCGGGTGAGGGCAGTGGAGGTTCCCCTCCCTCCCCCGCGCCACGCTGGAGTACTGACTACTTGAGACTGAAACAGCTGTTAGCTGACGCCGATTGGACTACTGTATACGAAGCTATAAATGCTTCAATAGCGTTTGAGAATTTTTTTGTTTTGTTACAGAGTTTTTTAGATCAAAGTAAAGTTGAAATAAATTCAAACAAACAAGTTTTTAATAAAATAAAACCTTGGATGAATGATTTTATATGTTCTAAGATCAAAAAAAGAAATCATATTTTTAAGCTTATGAAGTGTCATCCAAACAATGAAAATCTAAAAAGATTTTACAAAAAATATAGGAATTCTCTTCAAAATAAAATAAGGAATTTAAAAGAGGATTACTACAAAAAAAGGTTTGAAAAATGCAGTGGTAATTCGAGGGAAACGTGGAAAATAGTAAATGAGTTAACAGGTCAGTCAAAGAAAAAAGATGACGCTCTTAGATTAGAAATAAATGGTGTACTGACTGATGATTCATTGGCAGTTGCGAATGAATTTAATAACTATTTTTTAGAAATTGTTGAAAATCTGAAAATGAACGATCATACATCTCAGGTTGATCTACGTTTATTAGAGTATAGAAACAAGTTCCCCAGTTCTTTTCAAGTCAAAACAATGTTCATTGACCCTGTTTTCCCTGCAGATCTTTTAGCTGTAATTAACACATTAAAAAATAATACATCTCCTGGAATTGATGGCATAAATGCAAGCTTGATAAAGGAAATTTTTCCGGAAATTACTAATGTTCTTTTATTTGTCATTAATTTTAGTTTAACAACTGGAGTTTTTCCAACAAATTTAAAAAATGCAGTAATAATTCCAATTTTTAAGAGTGGATCAAAGTCGAAATGTAGTAACTATCGTCCGATATCTTTGTTGTCATGTTTCTCAAAGATATATGAAAAAGTTATGAAGAACAAATTATTAGTATTTTTAGATAAAACAAATTTTTTTAGTGAAAATCAATTTGGATTTAGAGCTGCTATGAACACTGAACATGCTTTGCTAAATTTTATGACAAATGTTAATGAAGGTGTAAATGAGGGGAAAAAAGTGAGTGGGCTTTTCCTCGACATAAAAAAAGCGTTTGACACAGTTGACCACACCATTCTGCTGGACAAGCTGTTTAATATTGGTGTTAGAGGTGTTTCCCATGAGTGGTTTAAAAGTTATCTTTCTGACAGGAAACAATGTGTTCGAATTAATTCTATTCTTAGTGAAATGGGAACTGTTAAGAGTGGGGTGCCTCAAGGATCTGTATTAGGGGCAACATTATTTATTATATTTATTAATGATCTTTGTGAAGGTAAATTTAATGGTAAGCTAACCTCTTTTGCTGATGATACAGCTTTATGTTACTCTGAACGCGATTGGCAGTCAGTTCAACATGCGATGAATGGAGACCTTGAGGCACTGAAATGGTGGTTCACTGTCAATCGTCTTTTACTGAGTGCTGAGAAAACCAAATACATTAATTTTAGCCTCATAAAACCCTTTAATTTTACAGATCCTATTACATTTAAATGTACACTTTGCTTGAGTAGACAGACAACCTGCATGTTAAACTGTGCTACTGTAGATCAGACTGATAGTATTAAGTATTTGGGACTTCATGTAGATGCAGAACTTTGCTGGAAAATTCATATCAAAAAGCTCAAAGACAAAGTCAACAATTCAATAAGATATTTTTATTTTTTAAGAAATCTAAGTAATACTCAAATTTTGCGTATGTTATATTTTGCTTTGATTCAAAGTAGGCTAGAATACGGCTTGGTTTTCTGGGGTAATACTTATGACTCTTATACAAAACCATTATTTATTCAACAGAAACATGCTTTGAGATTAATTTCATATAAAAATAGATTTGAACCTTCAAAACCTCTTTTCATTCAGCACAAAATCTTTCCTTTAAAATATTTGTATGTTTTTAAAGCTTTGAATCTCTTTTGTTCAGTTTACAAAAAAATACCCAGGAATGAAAATGAATATATACTTAAGCTCAGAAATCCTAACCAGTTTTTAGTTTCCAAGCCCAACAACACCTTTTTTACAAAAACATTTGGTTTTATAGTGCTAAAATTTTTTAAGAAACTCCCTGAAAATGTACAAATGTTAATAAACAACAAAAAAGTGTTTTTAAATAAGGTAAAGAAATGGCTTTCACAATTGGAAGATATTGATGAATTATTTATATTATTAAATTAGAATCTTAAATGAGAATCTTATTTTGTATTTTTAGCAGTTAAGGACGCACTTTGGCGGGCTATGCCACTCAGGGTCTAAACATTGTATGTAGTGTGCTATGACGGCCCTTGGGTTGGGGCTATCAGCCGCCTGGTGGCACTAGTGCAGTGCGTGGTTTCGAGTTATCAAACCAGAGATAACAAACATGATAGATAAGAATCAAACATATGTGGCAGGTGTTTTGAATAATCATTTGTCTTTCTCATTTATTGTTTTTAGGTTAAGATTTCGAATGAGACCTTTGTGTTTTTTACTAGTATTGTTTTTATATCTATCTGATCGCTCTGTGTATACATTAAATTTTGCAAGTAAAGGAACCTCAACCACAGGCTTTGCCTAATGAGGCCCTAATTATTTTCTCAAATTCAAATGTTAGGTCACCTTTATTGTACATACAGTATGGTTGTTTTTGTGCTTCAGATTACTGTAACTTGTCTTTTGTCAGCCTGGTGAGAACAACGGACTTTTTATTTCATTTCAAGTCTATTTTTATTATAACCAAGTTGTTTTTTTGTTTTACTTCAAGTGAAAATTAATGTACAATAATTGTGAAAGATGTACAATGTATTGTAAGTTCTTTGAGAAAATAAATATATATTCTATTCTATTCTATTCTATTCTATTGACACGTATTCACAAAATAACATAGATTATAGGCTTGGTACACACTATTACAACTTAACTCAATTAGAAAATTGAACAGTCATTAAATAGTTTAAAAAAGTAAATAATGAGATTTTTGGGTAGTGGTCAGCTAGCTCATAAAATTTTTTTTTGTCTACTGTCTGGACAAATCCTATACCCTTAGCAATAAGGGGGTGCCGCTGAACGTAAGTATTTCGTCTGGTGTTCAGGGTCACTCCCATATTACTAAGGGTATGTTAAAATGAAATAACAGTAACGTTAAGTGTTCTTTTCTGGTGTATCTATTAACTCCTGAACTCTAATTTTGTTAAGAAATATAGTCAAACTTTATCCCATTAAAAAAACCTCAACCAACCACTTGGCTTCCATTTAATACGTAATGAATGATTTTTTGAATTTTTGAATTATTTTTTTAGTGATGACTTTTAAGACAGGAACACACACCTCAGGTGCACATTTAAATGTAATCGAGTGGATAATCAGTGTGGCTTTGTTGTCAATCAATATCAGCTCTTTCTAGCCAGTACCATTTATTTAAACCCAATAATCATGGACAACTATGCCCAGTTTCAAACAGTCAAAATACAAAACTGATTTTTTTCTCAGGAATTAAACTGGTGACCTTTTTATCATCATGAGAGCTCTTTAACTCTTACTCACAGCTACCCAGCAATAAAGTATCCTATACAGTCAAACCTCAGTCAAATAAATTTCTCGATGAGACAAATTTTTTTTAAATCCCTTTGAAATTTTCTTCACGGTCAATAGTCAATGCTAAAAACACCTCAACATAGTAATTAGGTTAAAAACCTCCATAAGATGAAACAAATTTCTCATGATCTTAACATCTATAGTACATACCGGTAGTTAGTCTAAACATGATACCCATCCCTCTTCCTTCATCAGTTATTGTTGTCAGAGCGAGGAAAAAATAAGACTAATGACTGCAGTATTAAACCTCTACAAAACTAATATCTTTTAGCGAATTTCCCCTATAGGGAATAAGCTATTACCGTAGTACTCATGGTAAGACTTGGACCCGGGACCGATTTACTTTTTCGTTTTGAGGTCCCTAGAGACCAAAAACACCATCCGTTCAAATTCATATATATATATATTTATATATGTGTCCGTTAGCGCGATAACTCGAACAAAAATCATCCGATTTTGATGAAATTTGGTACAAACGTGTAAACCTACGTTTATTCGAACGAGTTCGCGAACCAGCATGATCGGACTATGGGAACAGGGGTTTATGGGGGGTTTTATGGGGTAAAAATAGGTTTTTCCCATTTTTGACCCTAAAAACTTAAAATTTAGCATTTTCTTTCCAAAACATTTAGTAGAACTTAAAAAAACAAATAATTTAGTATACTGAAGCGTTATTATGCGCCTAATGGTTACGGAGAAAATTCCAAAAAACTGTAAATTTAAAATTCCCATGTTATTCTTATGGAGAATGAGTAAACTGTTGTAGTTTGCTTGTTAATAATCATATTTTGATCAAATTTGGGAAATGCATTCATTTCATACTAAACTATTAACATTTTACAAAAAACCACCTTTTACCCTCCCTGTTGCAGCAAACCTAAGTACTCGTTAAACTAATGTTATTTAAATAGGGAATAAATGTGATATTTTTAAGGAGACATTTTAGTGTAAATCCAATCAGGCAAATGGAAATTCGCTTAGTCTGCAGGTTTGCTGCGACGGGGGTATTTTATTAAGAATACCTCGATAATACAAAATTTTCTGTCTTATAGAGGTTCAACTGTACTGAGTTACTTAATGGCGACTTTTAAAAACTAAAATATGGTTTGTAAGCACAAATTGACTTTCAAACTAAAATGATGCATTATCAAACGGTAAAAGCTACCTAAATTACTTACAAACTGCTTTACCTGCTGACAATTGAATGTGTGATGGTTTTTCCTTGTCCTCAGTCTTGATTTGTGGCCGACTAGTTTTTCTCATTGATGATTTCAATTTGCGTTTTCCCCTTGATTGGTCAATACTTCCAGATCTCATTTTTAACTTCTGTTAAACACAATTATTTATATTAAAGACATGTTTGCACAATTAGCTTTAAATATTATACTTCATAGACAAAAAATGTCCTGTCATTTTATGATGTAATGGCATTTTATAAATAAATAAATAAAAAAAAAATATTCGAGTTGGGATTCTTGGGAGAATTAATCATCCATGACAAACAGTTTCATACATTATGGTTTCATATTTGGCTTTACACAGAAATACCTAAGGCAAACTGCCTATCTACTGGCCATATGTAAACACAACTTTAGGTTTAAGGAGTAAATTAATACAAATTTTACAAAAGCAGATCATAAGTTGAATCCAAATACAGTACTAAAATATGGGCTACTGTCTAAATGTAAATTTTTCACAAACAATACCAAAAGTTAAATTTATTAAACATTTTCACTTTTCAGTTAATTTACCTACGAAGTTTCAAGTCAGTTTTCAACCTAACATTTAAATATTTTGATATTTTAATACCTTTAACAAATACTTTAACCCAAAAAATGACAACTTATTACTTTAAAATCCAGTTGTTACTATCTAATTTTGAACTTGTTGTTAGAAAGTTTCATTAATTAGAAGCTCAATGTGTCAAATATTATCTGAATACAAAATCATGATCCCACTTCTCTGTTTCCCTTCTCCCTTTTAATCGAATATGACTACATAATTTTCACCATAAAAAATAATTTAACTTTTAAAATATCACCAGATCACCTTCATATTGATGGGTTTCCTCAAGTCCTCGGAGAAGTAAGGCAGTCTTGTGAACAAAAGTTGCACCATGTCTTTGAGGTAGTGCTCGGCACACCGTCGCAGAAGCTCTACGATATCAAGATATGCAATGTTAATAATTGGGTCACTATGTTGAAATTTACTTGGAAAAGTCAGAGGATATGATAATAACCACCACACCTAAAATAGCATTGACAACCTATCGCCAAAGATGTTACATTAATTTAATCATGACAGATTTTACACTCTTATTAACAGAAAAATCTCAAGCTAATAAAACAAGGGTTCAATGGAGACACACAGCAATGGCGGATAAAGAGTAAAAAAAGCCTAAGTTAAGGTTAAATTAATAAATAATAAACCCGTCCTGTTAACTTCCACCTGAACCAGGTACACCATCTACTAACATCAAGCCCTGCTGTAGCAGATGTGAACCCTACATGAGTTGCATTCCATACCTGACCATTAGAGGATCAAAACCACAGTTTAAGTTGCTGTCTCCTGTTTGGGAAGACAAAACTGTGCGGGGAATCTAACCTCAACTCCCAGGATTTATCACAAGTCAGGTTTTTTGGACCATGCTCACTGATACTATTTTAAGTGAAGGTTTGGTATGTTACGCTTTCCATTATATCAGTGTTTTAGGTTAAAGGGGCTAATCAAAATAAACACTTACCGCTTAATCGAACTTCAAAACAGATCCTCAAACAGCTAAGCATGATCTCACAAACACTGTCATTGGTGAGCATCACTCCGAGAGGAGACAATACCAGCGAGCGTAGAACCTGAGACAGAGTGAAGTAGCTGTGAGGTTGTTGTACACATGTTGAGTAATAAATGAAACTGTTAATAGTAGTTTACGCAACGATCATGTACTGATAGTCTTTACGACACGAGCAGAAAGTTTTGAGGTACCAGCCTTTGCGAGAGCCTTAAAAACATCTACGAATGTCATAAAGGCTAATTACACAGTGCGTACACTAGTTTACCTACCACAGTTTCTTAATTACTAAAAATCACTAGGCCTACTCATAACTTCCAAGATGGGTTATTTTTTTTGTTTTTAACCTCTCGTTGCCACTGATTGTGATGCAATGACTTATTGTATTGACCACTCACTCATTGTTTAATCAATTAAATTGGTCTTAACAGCCGATAAGTTGGCATTCAAAGTATTAACATTTTACTTCCTTTTCTCTCAATTTTTGAACCTCATTGGTCCAAACTTTTACTGTAAAGTAACAAAACAATACTGTAAACTAAGTAAATAATACTGGAAAATAAATATTTTTTATTCCAAGTACTGAATCGAAAAGGCTAATCTAAAAATTGGTCGTAGGTAAAAGTTATGAAAAATATTATTTAACCAAAATTAACATTAAAAATAATAATACAAATGTTATAAGAAATACATCTTTTTCATACTTAAATTTTTTGAATTTTAAGGGCACCGCAGCTAGCTTACCTTTAAAATGCCTAGAGAATAACATTCCTAAACTATGTTCAACTATGTAATCTAGTAAAGTTATAAGTGTGTTGTGTGCTATGGTAAACACTTGCCCAATAAGTTATAACCTATTATTTAGACGGAAACCCTTATAGCCTACACTCTTTTGTCCTATTATTACCTGTAACTGAGTTTATTCACAGTTCTTTTACTTAACCTTGTCCTTACAATTTTCATCAGTAAAAAAAATGTTTGTAATTTATCCATCAATTATAAATTAAAATTAGCCTTCACAAACAACCGGTACAGTACTAGTTTATTAGTGTAAGATGAGTGACAGTAACTACATACCTGTAATATTTTCATGAGCACAACCCCATCGCTGGCTTGATCCGTCCCCACAAACCTAGCGTGAGTGACTGCGTCTGCGATCCTCTCTACAGCTGCTGGCACTGACTTGCCTCCAGGGTCTGTTAGAAAAACAACAAATATCATGCCGCGTTTACACCAGGCCAGTTAGCAGGCAGATTACAAGGCTTATTATCTAACTGTTAACGAGCCTAAGTTGAAAATTTTGTTTAAACACAAACCTTTGAAACTGTTACAATTAGTTGTAATACTTAAGTTATTTAATCAGATTAATTTTGGACATACTAAATTATTTATTGGTACAGTAAATTATTTAATCATCTGAATAGCAAAGGTGTAATATTAAAGAATTACATTAAAAGAAAGAATTGGACAAGTTTAACAGTGAACAAAGTGAATTTGACTTGCAAAGAAACAATTTTATAGGCTTTCGTTAATGAAATGGGCAAATGGTCCTATATTTACTAGTTTTTCCCCTAAATAAATAAAAATAAAAATTTTGAGTTGTGTTTATAAAAAAATTTATGATTGTTATTCAATAAAAGTGGAATTTGATTAATTCAAAAGGGTAATTCATCAAGCTATTTATACATTTTTGAAAACCAACAGGCACAATTACATATTTTAGGAATCTAGTTACTAGTACTGATGTAATCATTGTATTGATGAGGCAATGTTACGTCCAGTTGCTCACCAATGAGGCCATACGACAGAAACTTGCTGACAGAGGAGAGTGCGAGGCTAGTGACCGGTCCTGTAGTCTCTTCTGACTTAATCACTTCTAAAAATGGTTCTGGAACAGTATATCAAAGAATTGTAAAACCAATGAACACTACAGTTAATTTTAGCATTCAAACAACTTTAACTTTACACATTTTAAAATAGGCCTACAAAAAACTGATTTTTGTTCAATGTCTTCAAAATTACAGTATACTTCTGAATTAATAAACTAAATGTGTACTTTTGAAGTACCGTAGTACGAAATCTGTAATTGCTAAATTTGTAGGCTTACTATAAACTTTTACTACAACAGCTCAGACTTATTTGACTTCTCACAAAAGTTTAATAATTAGTTACAAGAGATGACCCAAAGAGAATATGTATACAGTAGACTCTCGCTCATCCGGACTAATGTGGCGGACGTCTGGTCCGGATTACGATAAATCCGGACTATCGAGAGTCGAGCAAATACAGTACTGTATATATCCGTTTTTTCAATTTTGTTCCAGGTCCACAGTATTGATAGCCGGGCAAATGCAATTCCACCGGTAATAATATTTTTACCGTCGTTTCATCCGAGTTTTTGATTATCCGAGGTAACATCGGTCCTGTTTAGCTCAGATAATTGGACTAGAGCGAGAGTCCACTGTACCTACTAAACTATTGTTCTTAAATTTATTTGTAACTTATGAAGTAACTTGCAGTAAAAGTTCATTTTATCAGGCAGTTAAGTAGGCCTATTAATGTTGTTGCCTTCACATTGTAAACTAAGCTAAGCTGGTACAGTAGACTCCCTCACATTTTGGACTGGGATCCAGTCTGGATAACAATTTTTTCGGTTAAACCAACGTCCCCAAAAACTTGTTATGTAACCCAAATATTTGACTTAAATTTAGGAGAGCATTGTATTTAGACACGTGATCACTGGTCTCAAATATTTCCCACGAGAACAGTTGTTTCAGTACCGCCCACTTCCTGCCGATCTAGTCCGGTTAAACCGATGTGCTGATAAAAATTGTCCGGTTAAAGAAATGTAATTTTTGCCGAGTGTAGTCCGGTTAAAAGGTGTCCGGATAAGAGGGAGTCTACTGTACTTTGGATCGTACTGACCACACCCATGTAGATTTGGTCAGGTTAGGTATAGTTGTGCAATAACTAGGTCTAGTCCAAAACAAAGTGTCAATTGAATTAATACAATGTTTTGATTTTGGTGGAAATTTTTTGTTCTGTAAAGACTACCACCTCTTCACCCTTGGGTAAATAGCAAATGATTATTTTACCATCCATCACTGCATCAAAACTTTAACAACACAAGAACATCAGCTGCAGCGGACGAGACTCTAGTGCTAAAATGCTATAAAAACTGTCTCATCAGACACTTGCACTGTCCAACAACAATAACATAACTAGATTTGTTTTGTATCGTAGGTACCTTGAAGAAGGGAAAGAAAGAGGTATTGTGATAAGCCAAAGCCTGATATTTTTGACTCAAGAGACTTCTGTAGAGAAATGGTAAACATACTAACCAAAATCTCATATTTATAGGTGTGGATGTTTTATATTACCAAAGTATAGCCTAATTGGGTGGTTGAGTGGTTTGAGGGCTTGCCGAAGGTTGTCGGTTTGATAAATGATAAACATACCATCCAAAATCTCATGTGGAACTATATTTATAGGTCTTATGGTTGTTATAATACCAAAGTATAATTAGATAGTTGAGTGGTTGAAGTGCTCGCCTTTAAGTAAGAAGGTCCCCAGTTTCATCAGCTATGAAAACTCCCAATTTTCTATAATTATTAGATTTCTGATAAACTATCCTGGCTAAAGAAACAGCTGATCTTTATCTGTAACAAATCTACACAAAGCATCCTCTTCATTAGACACTTGCCATTCACTCATAGTCCAGCTTAAAATGTGTAGGCCTACAAACAAAGTATGTTGCTGGCCAAGTAGTATAAAATTAGTAAAGAAAGCTTAACTTACCGAGAAAATGAAGTGGATCTATAGCTCTCAGATCACCGACGGAATTTAAGACGTCTTTAAGAGCTGAGAAACCTTTAATCAAGATGTCATTTTCTTCATCCTACAAGTAAAAGATATATTTAATTACATACTAGCTGTGTGCCCGTTCTACGCACGGGGATCTTATAGTAGGTAGTCAGTCGAAACCTTCTTATATTAAGATTAAGAACAGCAGCTAGTTTGCATATTTGCAGATATGCTGGCATAACTATTATAAAATAAACCTTCGCAAATACAGTATCTGATAGTTCAAGCCAAAATAAATGCTTCGCAATTAAATGTCACCCGGATCGTTATGGTCCATTTGTCCAATGATTAAACTAAAAACATTGACAGCTAGAAAAAATAATCTTGATCCGAACAGCTGTTCGTTATTTCATAGACGATTATGTGATAAAAATTGAACGAAAATTTGACAAAAATCGCACAAAACTGCATTTTTGAACGTCCGTAATTTTATTTACAAAGTAGTGAGGCTATATTTAAATCACTAAAGACACTCTCGCCAATCCAGTGAATAGGCCTACATTAAAATGACTTGGATCTTGATAGGTACTCTGGTTTTCACGGAGAAGATTGCGTAAAATGCCATCTTGAGTGTTACAGACAAAGGGAAAGACAGACAGACAGACAGAAATAGAGATAAGACTCGTTTCTGCTTCTTTAATGTATAAAACGTAAAAATAACCTAAAAGTATATAATTCTGAGCAAAGTACAGACAAAACTCTAATTTTATTTATATAGATTAAAAATGTGACCGGACCTTTATGGACTACTTTAAAAATAAAATTAGATGAATGAATAATAAGGCAGTTGATAATTAATTATTAAAAATACCACTTTGACTAGTACTGAGATTCTGTATAATAGCCTAGCTGAATTTCAGTACCTAATTAGTCAAAGATTGAATTTTGAATTCAATGAAATTTTGAAGTTTTAAGCTACTGTACTATACCGTCTACCATGGTTATTGAGAGTTAAAATAGCACAGGTTACACTTGCCGACTCCAGTTATATTTTGTTTGAAGGATCTGTACTTGAACTGAGTTTAATTTCATGATCAATTCTAAATTGTAGAGTACTATGAACAAAAGTAAAAAAAAATTAAAATACAATGGTTTCATCAAAATAGCCTCATTTTACTAGGACAAATTATATTAATGTTGAAACAAGCTCGACACAACTTTCTAGGTAAAAACTCTACTTGCCAGATGAGAGTGGGACGACCAGCGAGCACCTCTCCTCATGGCTGTCAAGAGGATCGACATTTCTCCCTGGACCACATAAACGCCATTCCCTGGTATGAACGACATTTTGCGTCGGAGCGGGAAAGCACTGGATCAGTTTGAGCTCATTGCAATTTAAATAAAAAGGCTTTTCCTAAAAAATATAATAAGTTCCATATTAAAACTAAAACTGAACAGTGGAATATATTTATAAAAGTGGATCAAATTTAGAATTATTGATTAAGTTTAACTTATAACCTGCAAAATGAAATTGGGAAGGAAATGCTTTGTTTATCGTTGACATGACAGCTATTGAACTAAACTATTGTAATATTTAAGTCATTAATTTGCAGGCTAGAAAAACCACAAACTTAGCTAGCTAGAAGCTTCAAGCTTTAAACTTAACCGAAAAAACTAAAGTTGCATAAAAGCTAGTTTAGTTAAGTAGTTATTGTGAGTTATACTTTGAGAGTACTTTAACAATCTTTTATACTTTGATTGGCTATTGAGCCTCAAAAGATCGAGAATCTTTGCCTGGATAAAGGTAACTTAGGCCAAATTAATTTAAACTCAATCAATTGAATTGCTAATAACTTCTGTTAGAATAACTTAGCCAGAACTTACAAGCAGGGTAGAAGTAAAATTAAAGTCTTGTAGATTAGCATTTAACAATTGGCTGCACTTTAGTAAAACTTTGGTAGGCCTAGTCACTTAGGTATCCGTCCTACACTCATTTGAATGAATATATCGATCGATATATCGATTAACTTATTTCATTCGATATATCAAGTTGGAATGAAACAATCGTTATATAGGCTATCGAATAATCTATACAGTATCGATATTTTTCATTTGAATGAGTGTAGGACAGATATTGGGTACAGTTTCTTAACTGGGCTACGTAAATATCGATTGAAGCTATCGAATTGAAAATAGGCCTATTGATTGATTATCGATATTTTAAAATATATCTTGGCCTATTATAAAATTAAACTGTCATAACCTAGCCTAACTAACCAAACTTGCTGATGGTGAAAAAATCGCATGAAGGTTTACTAATCGATCACAATAGTTTAAATCGATATTAGCGTAGCCCAGTTAAGAAACTGTACCCCAGATACTCAAGTGCAGCCTAACAATTTTCCACACAAATTCTAACCTTGGGATATTTATTTGCCGTATTTTAATTCTCAATGGTCAAAGCCAAATTCATATAAGTTAGACCTACAGTTTCTTAGAAGACAAGTGTTGCAATACTAGTCCTAAAAATAATAATTATCAACAACAGTAAAGATATTGACAGGGGCTGCGAAAATGACAATACGTTATTGTCATTACATTTTTATGATGTCACTAACTTAGGCCAAGAGGCATTCCAGCAATGCAATTATGTTTTTAGTTATGAACCTGTAAAATGGTTTGAGTATGTAAGATAGGGAATTTGGGTGGTTTGGAATGTATTACACGAGTTGTCAGGTTTGGAAAAACAAAATAAGGTTGAATTTTAAATTATAATTACCAACAAAATTAGTGCCGGAAATTGCTACAAAAATGGTTAAGTTACTGCAGTTACTGATGTTAGGAACTACTTTGATACATCCTAACTAAGTACAGTTACAAAATTATACAGATTAAAACAATTTACACACCTGTAAAACGTTGAATGTTAGTAGACACAACAAAAGCCAGTATTGATATTGACAGAGATGCGGTTTTGTGATTTTATTCAGTTTTTATTTTATTTGTGATTATGAAAGTGAGTGTGACTGACTGACAGATTAATTCACAATATCAAAACGCCAACACTCGCGTCTGCTACGTGTATGTATAAAACACCAGCTGATTAAGTTTTCAGTTACTTACTTACAGGCAAGTAGAGCACATGGCAGCCAACTAGACTTATGAGAGTTATCAGATTTCAACCTCAACTCAAACTAAAACCATTGGTTATGCGATTGTTTATTAAAAATTACCGTTGCCATATCAAATACCATTTACTTGTAAATGAGATTTTAATTTGTCTTTTTTTGTATCTGTCACACCACAAAAATACACTTCCGTAAAACTACAAAACAATGTTTACTATAAATAACATATTGATCAGCATTGTACATTTCATTTAATTTATTTCAACGGCAAAATTGCCAATTTATACATGGACAATTCAAAATATACATGATACTGTGCAACAAATTTCACAAGCAAAGGCAAAGAACAATAATTTAACAATCAACTAAAGAAACAATAACAGATCAGTCAACGAGAAATATATACCCAACCACAAACACATATACATATATATACATGTATATATACATATATATACATGTATATATACATATATATACACTAACTGTAACCCGCGGGCTTTGCCCCGTTTAACTTCTTAATTTTCAAGATTATCTCGTTCGCATGGCTCAATCACGTCCTGGGGCCCTATTTTTGAAATGGTTGACAGTTGAGTCAATCGTCAGCACTCAACTCAACCAACAACATGATTTGGTATTTTTGAAACCCAACAGTTGGGAAGCGAGTTGGGAATCACTAGTTGAGAGACTCGTGGTGGAAATGTAGAGCATACGACCGTCAAAAATTCAGATGACGTCATTTTGAACCAATCACAATGCAGAGTTCTTGCGGACTTCGATTTAACCTCTTCTTACTCTAAAATCTGGCAGCTAATCTCAATCTGCCATATTTCGAGACACTGAGGTAAACTGTCAACTCCGTTCTTGAGAGATTGAGATTGAGGTTATGTCTTGCTTAATCTTAGTGATTGCAAAGTACCTTAACTTAAGTAATTAACTAAAGTAAACTAAATAAAGTAATAAACTTAAGTATACAAAATAAAATTTACTATGGATGTTTGTTTTAGGGTGTAGCTAATTATAAGTTTAGGCATAGGCTGCACTTTACTTTAGGTCCTACACTCATCCTAAATACATTATTATTTGCTTTCTTCGTCTCTATTTCGGAACACATCACCTTATTTTAGTTTCCTTCATCGGTTTGTTTTATGTTATTTTTAATTGTTTTTTATTTAGGTTAAAGCGGCTATTTGCCATTGCACTGAAAGCATATCGTAACTTAAATTAATTTGATCCCTTTATTAGGCGAATGGTATTGAAACAAACTATGATATTGTTTCTCTCTACCACAATCTTTAATACCTTAAATCATAGGTCTAATAACAATAATTATCTTATAATAAGTTCAATTAGTATGCCTAGTCTATTTCATTCCAACAAGAATAAAACCCTCGATTAAATAGTCTAGTATTGACAAAGTAAATAAAATTAAAATGCGATTATTCAACAGAAAACAATCGCATAATTGGGTGCTAATACATTGACAACAAATACATAACCTCTAAATCGCAATTAGTAAATTAAAGCAATAACAAAACAATATGGCGTCGTCTCAAAAAGAGTAATTTTTTGCCGAAAGAGAGGAAGAAGAAAGTGCAGTCAACCTCCACTCAACAGCTCGATAGGTGTTGAGTAGTTTTGGTTGTATAAGTCCACCGTCAACCGTTTCAAAAATACGAAACGATTGGAAATAGAATGACTCGACACTCAATTCAACAGTCAACCATTTCAAAAATAGGGCCCCTGGTTGAAGTTTGTTCGCTACGCTCACTCACCTTTAGGTTGGAGCTCGTTCGCTGCGCTCACTTGCCTTCAGGTTAGCTCGTTCGCTACGCTAACTCGCCTCCAGGTTGAAGTTCGTTCGCTACGCTCACTCACCTTTTGGTTGCAAATTAGCTGTTGTCATAAATGTAAAAGAAATAATAGTGCTGCACCCTGTTGGTAATCCTTGTAACTTTAATGCTATTGAACATCATAGAACAGAACCAACTTGTTTAATTGAAACAGCTGTTAAGATTCAATACCATTTCTCATAAGGTTAACACGGGAAACTCCAGAGCCACTGGGGCGGAGCCCAAAAGGATTTTTGAAATAAGAATATGCCTATATGTTAATCGGGAATGTGAGCTATCATCATTCCAAATTTCAGCCCAATCCGACCAGTATTTTTCGCGTTCACTTGTCACAAACATACATCCATACATCCATACATCCAAACTTTCTCATTTATAATATTAGTAGGATACATATATATACACGCAACAACAATACAAAACAAGAACAAAGACAGAACAATAAATACAATAAATTAATTTACAATCACTAACAAGATCTAAGCAAACAGAAACAGTGAGTTTTTCCATACTAGACAGCAACAATATATAGTAAAGCAATATAGAACAAGTATAAACATGGGGGAGAAATTGCAAGTTTTGACTAGAAATACTTAAGTTACAAGGAAACAGATATTGCACGATCAAACAATGCCTTATAATTTGCGGTCTTGAGTAGTAAAGTACTATAGTAGCATTGCATCGCTTATATATCTCCTTTCTTGGGGATATGTATAATCAATGGTGTGGTACTCTGGTTCTGGTTGGTTGTGTAGTGAGTGTGAGTTTAGTTTAGAGTCAGAGATTTAGCTTATAATGCTATTACTTCTTCACTGTACATTTTTTGATAGAGTTTGAGGCATTTATAATTTTATTTTATGAACAGGACTATTTTTTACTTATTAGTTCTTCATTCAATTTTTATCTTATATCTTTTTTATATTATAAGCAAGTTTGGTTGGTTAGGTTATAATATGACGGTTTAATTTTATAATTCTTCTTAATTTGAAAATTTAGTAAAACTTATGACGTCATAGATCTACGGACCATCAATATGACGTCACGGATGGCTCCCGTGAGCCTGTCCGGAATGCAACTCGGAATGAGAGTAATGTAATGCCCTCCCTCAAACTTATTTGTCAGATTCAGATTCAGAATTGTTATTTTTTACTAGTGAAGTGAATTGAGATTGAGGTTATATTTTGAATTGCTTGCTTCCTAAATCCTGCCGAAATACATGTAATCAAGAAATGTCTCTACAAGATCGGGTTTTGATGCAGAAAATAAAAAGGAACGAAAAGCGGAAACTTAAGTTATTAAAACTAAAACAAGAAGCTTGTAAAAATGAAACAAGTACGTATACTGTAAACTAGGTGTTAACTGCTTACCATGTGCTTCCCTAGGTGTATCAATGTTGGAATTAAAAAGACCTAACTTTGTACAAAAAATATAAGATGAAAAATATTCTCTCGTGGTTTTCTGAGAGCTGATTACCAAAAATATATAAGTATTTAAGTATTTCATAAAGTAGGGTAGGCCTAGCTGAGTGTAGGGATGAACATCGATAGGTCAACCATCGATAGTAACTTTTCATCGCCGCGAAAACATTGATGTTTTCGGGGCTAAAATGTAGTTTTTATCAGTGTTTCGTCTGCTCTATGGACTGAAAAGCTATTAACTTAAATCTACTAAGTTACAATTCAGTCATGGAAAACATTTGACATTTCATTACTTGTCCAAAATCATCGATTCGGTAATCTACCATCGATGTACAAAACAACGAACATCGATGTTTCAAAAACATCGGCTATCGATGCGCATCCCTAGCTGAGTGGTTATAAATACAATAAATATAAAAAAATAAATAATAAATAAATAAATATAAAATATAGTAGGTACTAGGCCTACCCCCAGAAATCAAAAGGCCGCTGGTTCGATTTTGAGAAGAGTTTTAAAGCTCTTTTGATGGTTTGATACTGGATCCAGCTGACCTCATTTTAAAACCCTTAGAGTGCCAGGCGAGAAATAAAAGTAACGCTCAAAAAATGCCGATGATTTTTCCCGAAGGTCGCGCTAAAAATGCCGAGCGCGATCTGGCGATTTTTAGGTTAAAATTTCGTATAAATCGAATCGATGTATCGCATCTAGTAACTTTCGACTCAATGTTAATATGGGTTAAAAAATCCGAGTATCCATTCGGTTGTTATGACAACTGTTCGATCATTACGAAACGTCCGGTCAGCCGGACGTTGGCACTTTTGGCTCGTTCTAAAAACGTCCGGTCGGCCGGACGTCGGCACTTTTGGCTCGTTTTAAAAACGTCCGGTTCCCCGGACGTTGGCACTCAAAGGGTTAACTGGTAACTAAGTATGGTAATAGGCCTAGTTATAATTATTTATCGTTGAATCAACCAGGTAGCCTACTCCTACCTAATCAATCTTGTAAGTGTAGGCCTAGTCCAATCGTAAATATTGTAAGCAAATGCTTTCATATCAACATAACAAGATCGATAGTTTCTTATCTGGGTACCTTGCTGATTGTTTAATAGTGCCCGCCTAGCAATCAAAAGTTTGCTAGATCGTTCCAGAGAAGAGTCAGAAGCCTTTTGATGATTCAAAACTGGACCCAGCTGTTCCTATTGGCCTTCAAATAAAATATCCTGGCTAATTAAACAGCTGATCTTAGTCAGTAACATTCTAGGCCTACATTGACTATTGTTACAACTATTTCATCCCCGTCTTAAAGTTGTTGCCAGTTTAAGGCCGGCCACACACAGAACCGGGCGGGGCAGGGCATGATGAGACGCCTGACTTGCCCTGTCCCGCTGCTGTCACACACGGAACGAGGCAGGGCATGTAAAGTAAAAAGTTTAGCCCCCATAAAATGTGTAATATTTGGTTGTATAAATTGCTACAGTCATATAATGTAAATTATTTTAGTTGCAAAATAATCCTTATCAAAATTAGCCCATTAGGGAATAAATCACATGACCGTGCATGCCGGCAGCGACTTTCCTCTGAGCCTAATTTTGGAGAACTTCTCATTTTGCCCTGCGGGTGCCCAGGGGCGTCTTTTTGACGTGCCCTGCCTCACCCAGTCCTGTGTGTGGCGCTTCATAAACGCCAAGGAATTCCCGTCGCTCAAGACGCCCCAGGGCAAAATCCCTGTCGCCCCCCACCCTATTACCTGATGTGAGCCACCGACAGATTACCAAAGTTACCAAGTTAAACTAAGTTATTCAAATGACCTAAGTTATTGTGAGCTAGGCCCCTAGCAACTGTTACAACCCATCAACTTAGTAAGCAACAAAAAATAAGGCAGAAATAGAATTTTAGACACTAGGGCATTAACTATTTTCTTTTTTAATAAAAAAATTGGTGGCAGCTGGTCCCTAGGCCTATAGATGGGATGTCTCTACTTTCAGTATCGAATATTCAATGATTCTACACTCGTCCTCAACTCATATTTGGGTTAAAATACACAAACAGCTCAGGCGGTGTCCCCATCTCAACTTTTAATGATAATAAGTAAATTTTAAAAGTGTAGTGAATGTGCCAGGAATGGAACCTGTCCCTTCCGCACACAACTTCTTTTTTTATTTTACTAGACATTAAAGTAGGCTAATGCTGAATTAAGGCTTCAGAGGTAAAGCATATTAAAACATTAATTATCCTATAGCCTATGTATGTAATGTAAATCATGGTTGCATCCTGTTGGTGGTGGGAAAACCTTTGAAATGATGTGGTTTGTAAACTCAATGCATCTGTGTCAATGTTATAAAATATCTATATTCAGTGATTTCTGACTGTAATCTAAACCCTAGGAGTGGCCTTTTTAGGAGCTTTCAAGGAGGTGAGAGACCAGGAATCAGTGTGTAGCCTAATAATATTGTAAAAGTTTCTTAAGCCTAAGTTAGTTGATTTTGCTGCTTTGCTATTATTTAAAATTTCTTCTTTAAAATTTTGTTTTACAGATGTACAAAATGGTGTGATTGGTGTGAAGTCAGATGCAGTCGTGGGAGGAAAAAGTCAAATCACATCACCTAAAATTGAAAATAGCAACAAAAGAAAGGGAGACCAAGTTCAAGGTGTAAAAAGTAAATAGAACCGTATTTTACTGTAGGCCTATTTCTAAAGGTTAGATGATATAAAAAAAAAATCATTTTATCTTTTATAATTTTCACACTAGTAGCAATGTAGGTAAATGAAGGAATTAAAACTAGGTACTGGTAAGTTTTCACGGTAAGTTCACGTCTGACAAAAATGGAAATTTGAAATTGTCTTAAAATTAAGTTATATCTTTGACTAAATAAGGTATGCGATAGTCCGGTAATACTTGAGAAGAAGACAAATTTCAAAAATTGTAATAAACTTGTCACATTGAAATAAAAGTTAACATACCGTACTAAGTAACTAATTCAGTTTGAGCATCAAAATTATGTAATTTTTGAGAGTTTTGATACTACTTGAGCATATTTGTTGCATTTTTTCCAAGTTCATATCTTATTTCCCTTGACCAGAAGATAGGTAGGCCTAAGTTACCTTTATTTTTTTAGATTGCCTTCAGTGTAGGAATAGGCCAGTCCACACCATGCCCCACATATTAATCACCATGTTAGAAGCGACAGTGGCAACTGCGATTTGGGGAATTACTGAGCTCATTACCAGATTTCCTTCCTCCCTAACCGCCTTAGGGAAACCTCTCAAACCTTTTGGATATTCCTGGAATTAAAACTGCTCATCTAACAACGAAGTTGTGCATAGAACTAATACAAAGAAGAATGATATATGCAATACAAGTTTGTCTACTCTTATAATAGGCCTAGTTAGAGCTGAAACAAGAAGAAATAGATTGACAATTAAGAGGGAAATCATGCACTTGGTTGATGGTTTTAACTGCTAATTTCTAATCAAAAATCTAGAATTGTCTGGGCTTTTATTTTATTCACAGTGTAACGCTAATTGACTACCAAAATTTTCAGAAAAAAAGAAGAAGAAGCTTAAAATTAGTTCAAGCAACCAAAATGATGTTAGTGACGAAGAAGACAGTGAAAGTATTCCAGAAAACTCCCTTAATGGTTCAGTCGAGAGCAGCAGTGGTCCAGGTAGATATTATAACAATTGGCTACTTGAATTCAACTGTATATAAATATAAGGTTATTAAACTTGCTTTGACAAATTTTAAACTTTAAAGCTAGTCAACTCTTTCACGTTAATTTGAAACTGAATATCCTAACAAATTGGTGACTGGTTATATTGCTTGTATTACAATCAAACACTGGAGATTTGGTAAAACGGACACATTTTTGTAGCTTTTTGATGGTTTAAAAAAACTTGGATCCAGCGGACCATGATCATTGGGCTTGTAATAAATATGGTCCTGACTAAATAAACTGAAAAGACAGAATCGAGACATTGATTATCTCATCCCATTACATACCATATAATAATATAATGTGATAGACAACTATATGGGTTTTAGCAGCGATTGGTTGTTAATTTTCTTGGGTATTCTATGTACAGTAGGTATAGTTTCTTCATCTATCAGAGTGATCATGTCCATTATTTCATAGAGAACATTAGAACAATCATGCCTAAGATAAATTCTAACCTAAAAAGAAGTTCCCTTTTGATGAGGGGTCCTCATATAACTGAGTAGTAGGAATATTAATTTGTTTATAATATCAATCAATCTGTTATGAATAGGTCACTTACTTGTAACAGATAGGTCTAGTTTGTAACCACAATTAGAACTAAAAATTTGCAACTAAATATTGAGCTAAAATACAGTTTCAGCCTGATCATATACCTTGTAATTCGGTCAGTGTTTTACCTTAAGTAATTTAAGTGCTAAGATTCAACAATCAAATGTAATGAAAAATTAATTATTCAGACAAGCAAAGTCATGTGGTATACACACACGATAATCCGTTCTAACATATATTCTAACCTATATTGCAATAAATACAATTAATATTAATCTACTTTCCAAACAATTTACCATATGATTTCAGATTCTAAACAGATGAAAAATAAAAAGAAAAAGAAGAAGAAAACTCTCTCGGAAAGTGATGCAAGTATCAGTAGAGAAAGTCAACCACAAGAAAGTTCCAGTAAAAAAGAAAAGGCCGATGAAAACAATTTGCTGTGTAAGTACTCAAAGCTAAACATTATAAATAACATTGCATATTTTTTTAAACTCTGTGTTGATACTCTAAATTGTTTAATGTTTATATTAGATTATGATTCCAAAATGTTAAATGTTGCAATTTCATCAGTACAGATTTTCTAATACTATATGTAGGCTACCTAAACATTTTGGGGACATTCAACAGAGTTGGAATGCGTTCGGTAGATTTTTTGAATGGTTGCCTGAGATCAGGCGTGCAACCACGACAGGCAAACGCAGAAAAATGGCCTGATACCCAAAGTGATAGCTTACTTCTTTAGTGGTCATTTTTGTTCTCGTAATAATTTCTATGTTTAGCTCTTGGTAATTCTGTACTGTTGAGGATCAAAAAATTAGGTTAGTAGGCCTAAGTCTAAAAATTAATGAATGTTTCTTGCAAGTGTAGAGAGCTCCCAAGACCAACGAGCTTCAAGTGTTATTTTTCTCAGCAGTGTAAAATGAAATGCCAAATATTATACATACAATGCAAATACAATCACTAGGTTTAATGTTTACCTGATGTCCAGTGCCTGGCTCATCGCTGTCCTTGGATCTACTGAAGGACAGCTCCTTCTCTACACTGCAAGGCCATGTATGTGAGCAGACTCTCAAGGCTGTGGAGGAGATGGGGTTCACCAACATGACTGAGATACAAGCCAAGTCCATCCCCCCGCTGCTGGAGGGCCGAGACATAGTCGCACGCGCCAAGACTGGCTCCGGCAAGACACTGGCGTTCCTCATACCCGCCATAGAACTCATCTACAAGCTCAAGTTCATGCCGAGGAATGGTGAGTGAAACTGCCTCTTCTTGTATTTTTATAATTTTTTTTATCAACTTAGGTGGTCACCAATCGATACAGGTACAATTAAGGGTGATAAAAATGTGCATTCTTTAAATAGAATAATTTTGTCAGTTTGATCCTCAACCACAACAAATTTTTTATAGGCTAGTTAGGTCTATTTACTTTTTTAAAATTATTTCTCAGCTCTAACAATATTTTGTTAGTAAATCTATTACCGAACATAAATTATCAATTATAGTTTGAGCTGAAATTTTTCAGAGCCACAACTTTTGATATCACATGTCAAGTTATTTTCATCAAGTCCAGCAAAACCTACTGTATATTTCTGGTTTTGTTTTGATGCCAACGACCTACAGCTACAATGCAAGTTGGTACTGAATAGACCTAAAGTAACTTGTTAATGCTGAAGTTAGCATTTAGTTTATATTGTTTCCAGGTGTGGGTTGTCTGATTATCTCACCCACTAGGGAGTTGTCCATGCAGACATTTGGAGTGTTGAAGGAGTTGATGGCTCATCACTACCACACTTATGGTCTCATCATGGGAGGAGCCAACAGAGCCACCGAGGCACAGAAACTGGCCAAAGGTATAAACATAATTGTGGCAACTCCTGGCAGACTGTTGGATCACCTACAGAACACTCCAGACTTCCTGTACAAGAATCTGCAATGTCTGGTGATAGACGAGGCTGACAGAATATTGCAGATCGGATTTGAGGAGGACATGAAACAGATCATCAATCTGTTACCAAGTGAGTACCTACCCTAGTTAAACATTTTTAATAGATATTGGTTTTGCACTTAGTTTGGTTTTCGTATCAGCTTCACCTATTTTAGTTTTATGAAATATACATAGAGAAAAAGTGTAGATATTTGAAACCCTCTTAATAATGTTTCTAACATCATTAGTTTTACGTATCAATAGTCAAAGGTTTTACTATAATGCAGTTTTTTAAAAGCCTAATGAGTTTTGCTGTTGTTATGTCTTTTGGTGGACAGAAAAGTCAAAACACGTTAAAATTAAGGGATTAATAAAGAGTATAAAAGATGTTTTTGTGTACATCCACCATAGGCATTCAATTTGATAGAAATTGGCTAAAATTTAAGCAGGGTCTGCAAGATTTATTTCTAGTCAGAATCAATCCCTCAGGTCAATTGTTTGTCCAACCGATTCTGAAAATATTAGGAACTCGCAGACCTGTAAACTGAAGACAGATTTTTTTTTAAAATTGTGTATGGATCACTATTTGATTAGTTTAAACAACTATACAACAACTTTAAACTTTTTTGCTAAACTAATTCATGATTGTTGTACAGAGAGACGACAGACGATGCTGTTCAGTGCCACGACCACAGACAAGACAGAGGCCCTCACCAGACTGGCCCTCAAGAAGGAGCCTGTGTACGTGGGAGTGGAGGACAAAACTGACATGGCTACTGTGGATGGGCTGGAGCAAGGTGGGCCTGTACTCTAGCAAAATGTTCTGTCCTAATTTTTACATTGGTCTAACTTTAGGTTTTAAATAACACTCAACATTCTATTCATCTAATAGGTTACAAACTATTTAATTAACTTCAATTTAAATATAGTTAAATTAAATAGCTGCATTGTAACGGTTAGTGATTTAAAAATCCACCCCAGTTTATTAAAAAATCTTGACAATCCGTAGGAAATTGAGCTGACCAAAGTAGAAGGGATAATCCCTAACAAATAAGGGCAAGTCAGAAGGGGTGTTATCTAGTCTCTCTACAGCTATATTTGTTTGGTTTAGGCTACGTCATCTGCCCCTCAGAGAAGCGATTCCTCCTCCTCTTCACCTTCTTGAAGAAGAACCGCAAGAAGAAAGTGATGGTTTTCTTCAGCTCTTGCCTCTCAGTGCAGTTCCACCACGAGCTGCTTAACTTCATAGATCTAAACTGCATGTGTATCCATGTAAGCGAACAATTATGTAAAATAGGGCACATAAGCATAGGTGTTGAGGAGTGTTGTTGGTATACCAGGCTTACCTAAGTGGGAAAGACTTCATCTTGAACAAGAAACACTTTAATATGCACAAACATCACCAATAAGTAGGAACGTGTCAATTAAAAAAATTTAAAAATTTTGACAACACCAGTATACTGTAAAATTGAATTCTCGAGTCTGATTACATTACCAGTACCTGAATCTATTCTTGATACCTATTTGAATGTAACTGGAATTTAAGCCATACCCATCTGAGACCACAGATGTACACAATTACACCACAGATTCATAATTTCATAAATAGATACCTGCTACTACTGTAGTTTGTTTATAGATTCGCTAATATATTTTTACTTAAAAGAGTTATCTTACTGTTATTAGACAAAAAATCAATTGAAACTACTCAGTGGACAATCATAATGTCTGCAATATTGCTTACTTTATTTTTTCTTCTCTGCTATAAAAACGTCTTTCAACAAACAATTTAGATTTTTTATACATGTGGTTCCTTTGGCACACTGGTTCCTCCGAGGAATTAACAGGAAACGTAACTGTGGAGATTACCTAATTAAATAGAAAATTATTTAACAAAATGTTTATGTCTTAGTATTAGAGGTTTCGAGAAACCAGGATTGTCAATCTAAGTAGAATAATTTGTTGTCATTGGCAGCATTTTTCAACAGAGGAAGAAATTTGAGCTAAGAAGAAATTCCATTTTTGAAAACAATGGAAAGACATCCTTCCTTGGTTGGAAATGCCATCAGTTTCTGCCAACTATCTTTGATTTACTTCTTGCCTCGATTGAGTCAAGTTTTATTAACAGTTTATTTATTCTAGTTAAACAATTTTGTAGGTAGATCAAGATTTTGGCACGGTTTGCCACAGTAGGATTTATTTTATTTATAGTTATTTCTTTGTTCTTTGCACCACTGATTCTGAATTTTAGACCAGTGAACTGTTGCCAACAGGGTAAGCAGAAGCAGATGAAACGTACGACGACATTCTTCCAGTTCTGCAATGCCTCGGAAGGTATTCTGCTGTGTACTGATGTAGCAGCAAGAGGTCTAGACATTCCTGATGTAGACTGGATCGTACAGTTTGACCCTCCTGACGACCCCAAGGTGAAGAAAACATCCATATACAGTTTACGATTTAATTTATAGTATGGATGGGCGGGATTGGATTTTTAGTTTGGGACGGGACAAGATTTTTATTTCCTTCCCGATTTTCAGGACGGGACGAGACCTGGATTTTTTCCTGTGCATTAAAAAATGTAGCCTATTGCAGTTGCCAAACAAGACAAACAAAATCAATTTTTAGCATTTGTGATATATGACTCGCGGTCACGGTGCGATGGTCGCAACGACTTCGCCTCCTACTTTCGCGTAACTGTCTTGAACATCTTTCGAGATAGCGGCGTCATCATCACTCGCAAAGAGACTATATCGCCAACGATCGGATCAAATCCCGCCCCGAATCTAATGTAATCCCGTTCCGAAAATCGGGAATATTTTTTTCCCCAAAATGTCCTGAAATTTCCCTAATTTTTCCCCTAATTCATCCCTAATTTATAGTTAGACATGAGAAAACTAGGGTTAAGAAGCTATTAGATACACCATAGGCATAAAAGGTCACATATCACGCATGAATTCAAGAATTCTTTAAAGAGTAAGAAAAAGTACTCTTTAACACTGAAAAAATAGCTGCATTATGTTTGTGACCTTTTGTGTATATGTTACCTGGTTTTATCTGTTCCTGGACTCAATTTTCTCAGAAAAACAAGCTCTCTAATGGTTTTCTATAAAACTCCCAATCAGTCACTTGATTTTCCTTCAACTTTAAGCAAAACATTTTTTCTACCTTCTTATATTAACTTAAGTTTCAGGATATTGATATTGGGCACAATTGCAAGGATTCTATCTGTTACTCTTCAAGCTCTATTTAATCTCTCAATGTACAAATAAAAGACTTCTTCCTTCTTTGTGAGTTACACATCAAATTAGGCAATTTGGTTATCTCTAGGCCTACTGTCATGTGTGTGTCTACAAATAAATTACTGTAGGATACTTTGTGCTAAGTGAAAGAAACAAATTAGAAAATAGTAATAAAATAACCGAATAATCCCTCGAGTTTAGAAGATTAATTAATTAACTACGTGTGATGTTTGCAGGAGTACATTCACCGTGTGGGTCGTACAGCCAGAGGACAGGGCGGTAAAGGTCACGCACTGTTGATACTCCGACCAGAGGAACTCGGATTCCTAAGGTACCTCAAACAGGCTCGGATACCTCTCAACGAGTTTGAGTTCTCATGGAAAAAGATTGCTGACATCCAGCTGCAGGTTAGTCCCACAATAGCTGTGTCAGAATTTGTTTACTTCTGGATATTGATTTATATTGATAGAAAGTGTTACTTTATCTTACAATATTCTTGGGTATAAGGTAGGGATGTACGAGACTGGATTTTAACACTACAGGGTGTCTACCAGTCGGGAATTCCGGGAAATTCGGGAAAAAGTCGGGGATTTTGAAAGGTCGGGAAAAGTCGTGAAAAAGTCATGGATTTCGGCCGAAAGTCGGGAATAATCTAACCTTTCAAAATTAGGGATGAACGGGTCCCAAAACTTTAAAAAAATGTTCTGGATCTTATATTCCTGATCATTGGGACGGGATTACATTTGAGGGGTGGGGGATGAAACGAAAATGCATCGGAATTCCAATTCGATTCAGTGATGATCAAAATAACGATTTGAATCATGGGCATTCAGTGTCCATAATATACGTTTTTGAATCAGCATCCATACGTTATGGAATCAGTATCTATATACGGTATTGAATCAGTATCCATATACGTTATTGAATCATTATCCAAATAACTTTTTGAATCAGTGTCTATACGTCATTGAATCAGTATCCATATACGTAGTTGACTGTTACATTGATAATGTTACTTTGACTATCAGTACCCATATAACTTATTGACATTATTCAAATGATTGACATTAATTATATAAGCTTTTCATTGAGATGAGACATTGCTTAGCCATACAAGTTATTACCATCCAAGTACATGGCATACACTGAGACATTGCTTAGCCATACAGGTTATTGCCATCCAAGTACATGGCATACACTGAGACATTGCTTAGCCATACAGGTTATTGCCATCCAAGTACATGGAATACACTGAGACATTGCTTAGCCTTAGCCATACAAGTTATTACCATCCAAGTACACGGCATACACTGAGACATTGCTTAGCCATACAGGTTATTGCCATCCAAGTACATGGCATACACTGAGACATTGCTTAGCCTTAGCCATACAAGTTATTACCATCCAAGTACACGGCATACACTGAGACATTGCTTAGCCATACAAGTTATTAACATCCAAGTACATGGCTTACACTGAGACATTGCTTAGCCATACAAGTTATTACCATCCAAGTACATGGCATACACTGAGACATTGCTTAGCCATACAAGTTATTACCATCCAAGTATATGGCATACACTGAGACATTGCTTAGCCATACAAGTTATTACCATCCAAGTACATGGCATACACTGAGACATTGCTTAGCCATACAAGTTATTACCATCCAAGTACATGGCATACACTGAGACATTGCTTAGCCATACAAGTTATTAACATCCAAGTACATGGCTTACACTGAGACATTGCTTAGCCATACAAGTTATTACCATCCAAGTACATGGCATACACTGAGACATTGCTTAGCCATACAAGTTATTACCATCCGGCATACACTGAGACATTGCTTAGCCATACAAGTTATTACCATCCAAGTACATGGCATACACTGAGACATTGCTTAGCCATACAAGTTATTACCATCCAAGTACATGGCATACACTGAGACATTGCTTAGCCATACAGGTTATTGCCATCCAAGTACATGGCATACACTGAGACATTGCTTAGCCATACAAGTTATTACCATCCAAGTACATGGCATACACTGAGACATTGCTTAGCCATACAGGTTATTGCCATCCAAGTACATGGCATACACTGAGACATTGCTTAGCCATACAGGTTATTGCCATCCAAGTACATGGCATACACTGAGACATTGCTTAGCCTTAGCCATACAAGTTATTACCATCCAAGTACACGGCATACACTGAGACATTGCTTAGCCATACAAGTTATTAACATCCAAGTACATGGCTTACACTGAGACATTGCTTAGCCATACAAGTTATTACCATCCAAGTACATGGCATACACTGAGACATTGCTTAGCCATACAAGTTATTACCATCCAAGTATATGGCATACACTGAGACATTGCTTAGCCATACAAGTTATTACCATCCAAGTACATGGCATACACTGAGACATTGCTTAGCCATACAAGTTATTACCATCCAAGTACATGGCATACACTGAGACATTGCTTAGCCATACAAGTTATTAACATCCAAGTACATGGCTTACACTGAGACATTGCTTAGCCATACAAGTTATTACCATCCAAGTACATGGCATACACTGAGACATTGCTTAGCCATACAAGTTATTACCATCCAAGTATATGGCATACACTGAGACATTGCTTAGCCATACAAGTTATTACCATCCAAGTACATGGCATACACTGAGACATTGCTTAGCCATACAAGTTATTACCATCCAAGTACATGGCATACACTGAGACATTGCTTAGCCATACAAGTTATTAACATCCAAGTACATGGCTTACACTGAGACATTGCTTAGCCATACAAGTTATTACCATCCAAGTACATGGCATACACTGAGACATTGCTTAGCCATACAAGTTATTACCATCCAAGTATATGGCATACACTGAGACATTGCTTAGCCATACAAGTTATTACCATCCAAGTACATGGCATACACTGAGACATTGCTTAGCCATACAAGTTATTACCATCCAAGTACATGGCATACACTGAGACATTGCTTAGCCATACAGGTTATTGCCATCCAAGTACATGGCATACACTGAGACATTGCTTAGCCATACAAGTTATTACCATCCAAGTCCATGGCATACACTGAGACATTGCTTAGCCATACAAGTTATTACCATCCAAGTACATGGCATACACTGAGACATTGCTTAGCCATACAAGTTATTACCATCCAAGTGCATGGCATACACTGAGACATTGCTTCGCCATACAAGAAGTTATGTATACCTTGTAGTTCTGATTCTATCCTCTTATTTTATCAATGTAAACCAATTGAAAGATTCAGTATTTAAATCTTACAAAGGTTTTTATTTGTTTACACCCAAACATATCTTTATATATAAAATGAATAAAATAAAATAGGTAACATACTTAACAACATGATGCTGCAAGTAAAAATTATGAAATAGGCAAGAAGCTCACTGATATTTCCAGAAATCCTGGTTCTTCTAATGTATGATTGAAAACAGATATTTCACTCCACTGAGAAGTATGAATAGAAAGATTCCATGTTGCTTCGAATCGAGTTACATCAACATTTTTTTAAAATCGAATCGTTGCTTTGAGTTGAAATGTTTTGCTGCTTCACACACCCCTACATTTAATACGGGATTTTCTTGGCATGTGATACGTTTCGATCGTCAGTGATTTCGCTGGGTCGTAAGTGACAACCTATGTTGACGAAGGTACCGTGACCGCGAGACGGAAAAAGGTGTAGTAACATGGAGAATGGACCGAGTTTTTGGTCGGGATTTATATAAAAATGGTAATGAAAAGTCGGGAAAAAGTCGGGAATTCCATTTGAGAAATCTGGTAGACACCCTGCACTAATACCGAAACCCTGGTCTGACAGGCCCACGGGAATTTTCAAAAATGCATGTTGGCAACACTGTTTACTTGGGAGATTCCATTCCCCTAATACCTTCCCCCCTTTTCCTCCCCTACCTATTGATATATTGTTTGTTCATTTTGAATGGGAGCCATGACCTTGACAGGGTTGTCTGTTCATAACATGCCCGTCTCAGAAGCCCATCGTTAGTGTATTTTTAAGCGGGGTCTCACAGGCCGAGGGTTTCGGTTAACGTTAGCCTAGGTGGGGTTTCGGTATTAGTGTTAACCCATTGGCGCCGACTTACGAGCGATATTCGTACGGCCAGTGCATGCCCGGCGGCCGACTTCCGAGTGCTGCTCATGTCACCGCTACGCAGCGCCACTAGTTGTTTGATTATTATAATTTTTCCCCCTTTATGTTTCTCCTTACGTTTACAATGTTTATAAATATCTTGCTTCTTGTTTTGCAAATTTACTCATTTATTTTTGCAAATAACAAACAAGGTTTGTTGCCATTGTAACCAGGTATCACCCAAAATCAGCTGCTGTAAGGTTAAACAAACATTTTTTTCAATGCTATTCCTTATAAAAGTAAACAACTTGTTATTTTTCTACGTAGGGAATCAATTGAACTTCATAACAGTAGTGTCATTTGGTGTCTGGATTAATCTTGGAATTTGTAAATCAAATTTAACAGTAGGCCTAACTATTGTTTTTTAAATTTTTAATTTTATTATCTTTATAATTTTATTTTTGTTTGTTTTACACTTTCACTATCCAATTACCACTTTTTTGTAGACAATTTTACTCTGAACAAAATGATGAAAGAATTATTAATTTATTATCTAAGGTTTTCTTTCTATAACAATTAGAGTGAAAGTCTTAAAACTCGGTAAAATTCATTGTCGACAGAGGGCACTGCAGGCAGCGCATTAATTCCTTCTGTTCTACAATGGATTAAGTTCAAAATTATTTTTTCTCATCATAATTTGAGAGGAGATTATATTCGTATCTCATTACTATTGGGAACTATTCGTTTTCACAGTTTGACAATGGTTAATAATTAACAATAAAGTACTACCGGTATTAAAACAACATTACTAATTAATTACAAGTGCAATTACTAATTATTTATTACAAAGGTCGATATAAAAAAGTGTACAGAATAGCAAAAGCTTACAGGATCTATTAAATAGTTATGGAATAGATAATAGAAAAATAAAATGAAAATAAAACATCCTAAATGTACAACTGTAACATGTGTATGTTACCATAACTAACTATATCACAAAAAAAAAACCAGTCTATAAGAGACAAAAGAAAATTTTAGTAGCTTGTATGGTGGGGGACTTCTGATCTCGATGATAATGGTACAGTAAAAATCTTTATATCCTGTATAAATAGAAAGGGTCATAACAGATTAAAAAATTACCGAATAAACTTATTTTACCGTTGTACACAGTTAAAAAAAACGCCTTCAGAAAGGCTCTGCAATATCCGCAATACAGGAGCGTGTTGTTGTTGCGTTAACTGTTGCGAAGGCA